ATTCAACAGACATGCTCAACAGACAAAAAACAAAAAACAAGCTTTTTCTGGAATCTCCACCCAGGCGAGCAGGGAGAGATCAGAAGAGACATATTCCAGTGAAAAGAGAAGTCGGGGTCTTTCTCGTCCAGCACAGATGCTATTAACAAACTTTCCTGAAGCAGAGGAGCTTGTGGGGAGACTGCACCCCAAGGCTTCTCCATAAAAGGCACCCACATGCCTGTGTCAGATTTTTCCACTGACACAGATGACAATAGAACCTTACATGGGCATAGAGAAGCATCAAGGAATCAGGGAGGCAGCTTACTCTACCCTGTGCTACTTTGATGGTATTTTTCCTTTTGGTCATTTGCTATTGATTCTGTCACTTTGGACTGCTTATTCTTATGTGTTCAGAAACTGATCTTCTATACTTCTCCCTGCATCCTCAAGCTGTTGGGGTTTTTTACCATGTTTTCAGCAAAATGTAGACTGTGTTTTGAGAATGAGGGAGGGGGCTCATAAGGAGCGGGGCATCACAATTTTGAATATGCTACACAGTGGAAACACCCAGGTTGCAAGCAATGTGTTGAAAACAACTGGAAACCAGGTGTGCTGTCATAAGGACACAGGTAGGCTGCTGAGAAGCCCAGCACAGAGGAACCTAGTGGAATCCTTGGCTAGTTGTTTCCCAGGGACCAAGAGCACTGGCGAATGAGACAACTGATTTGTTTTACTCTCAGTGGTGGCAGCTGTTGCCAGTTAGTACTCTGCCCTCTGATGGGATCGCCTGCAGATGCCAGGTTGCCCCATGGAAGACAGGCGGAACAAATGTCAGGGAAAGGCATATAAAAAGGGTAATTTCTCCTCCACCTCCTTGGGTTAACTAGGTCCAAGCTAGTTTAGAGTAGTAGTGTGGTGTCTTCTTGACTTCTGGGAAGGTGGTGGTCAGTCAACTAAGCCATTCTTTTGATGGAACTACTGCTGTGACCAATAGAACAGCCCAGCTGCCCATGGGGCCTGCTGACCATCAGACTCTCACCCTGCCTGAGCAGCTGCTGTTGCTGCAACTCACCCGGAAGGAGGAGAGGTGACTTGTCAGGGAGGCTGCAGATCAAGAAAGGGCAAGGCAAATACAAGCTGGCCAGGCAGCAGTTATGCAAGGGTAAAAGGCCCATTCCCTGGGTCCCTCTCCACAGGCGGCAGAATTTCTAGATGACTTTTCTGCACCTTTTCAATGTGCCTGTCTGTGGTCCACTCCAAGCAACCTTGGCAGAGCTGCAGCTATGTGGCTTGGCCCAGCATTCAGACCTCTATGTCTAGTCATTGGTAGGTGTGATCTGGTGGCACAAGCTGTGATTCAAGGAGGCCCAAGACCCCCCAGTGGCCTAGCCAGCAGGATCCTAGACTGGAAACCAAAAATGCTAGCTGAGCTAGGGGAAGTGGCTGATGGCATTGCTGTGCTGTCAGGGGTATGCAACAAGGAACCTTTGGGAAGTAGCAGGGAGGGAGAGAGGGATCGGGCATATACATTAGGACTCTACTAGCTGTCGCAGCTTTACAACATGCTGTATTACACACTTGCAGACCTTCACAGCAATGTCTGTTCTTCTACATAGAAAAATATTGGGCATGTAGTGGGCCTACAGGTGTAAGGACTTTAAAATAGACTTCCATAAATCTAAGAGGGCACTGTACTCTCACTGGAAACAGGGAAGGAGAGCATGGATGTTTAATCCAGCTCAGATCCACACAATTAAATTTTGCAGAGGAGGAAACAGTATTTGATAATTAACAAATCATATTGTATTGTCCAATTAAGAGCTGCCACGTGGGACTAGCTAGGAAGACCCATGTTCTGTCTTGATCAACAGTGTCATGTAGCATTTAAATCAGCCTTCTCCAAACTGGTGCCCTCCAACCTTTTGAACAATTTCCAGCATCCCTGACCATTGGTCATCCCACAAAGAGCTAATGGGAGTTGAAATTGAAAAAACTGGAGGCATCAGCTGGGGAAGGCCAACTTAAATTGGTAGCAGTTTGAATGCCCTCCTTACAAGGGCTCTAGGAGAAATCCTACCAACATTCTACTTAGGTGTAACAATGTATATGACAGTGGCCACCTTGGCAAGGAGAGAGAGGACTGTGCACCATCAACCTCTGCTGCGATAAGCATGCAATGAGGTTTTGTGAACTGCAGCCACACCCTTCACACACAAAACACCCTGGGGACTATGTGGCTAGCAAACTGGGTGACACGCCAGCCTGCAGGCATGACCAAAAGCTAAAGAGGCTGGGACAGTGCCAAAGGAAGGCCTGTGTTTCTGTGCAGGTGTTATCTCAAGCAAGTTATTTTTAGCTGGGACATCTGAAGGCCTCCTTGTCTGCCAACAGAGGCCTCGGTGGGTAGTGGCATGCAAGGAATAATTTGAGGAATGCTGGGGCTGCTCCAGGCTGGAGGATCCTGGAACTGCTAAGGATAAATCACAGCTGGACTTTCCTTAATGTTCCTGAATTGGTGATGGATGAGGATGAGGGGCTGGAATGACAGGAAGCAATGCCTAGAGAGGCTGGGGGCAGGGAAAAGAGGACATCTTAAGATGCAACTGCTACTTCTGCTGAGGGGAGAGCCACATCTGCAAAAAAATGTCCATGTTGGTTGCCAAGTGGTTTGCACAGCTGTGCAAGTTACTTGTGCAGCCACAGATTGATATAGCCTTATAGCAGCAGCAGATCCACTTGTCCCCAAAGCCTTGAAAACAGCCATTATTTCAAAACTTGCTGAAAATGGACAGTGGAAAGCCAGGCAAATTTCACTGTTGCGACTGGCACCATACCTAAAAAGGGCATTAATAATCTTTTTGATATTGCCTGTCCATTAATACTAAGATGACTTTAGCTGCATCAGGCAGGATAGCACACATTTTGACAGTTGCAGGCAGTGGATTCTGGATGCTTAGGAGCTTCTGTTCCGAAATGGACATTCCACATTACTGTGGCCAGGCACCCCATTGTGAAAAAACATTTCGAGAGAAGTACCCTTTTCTTACTTTGAACATTTATCAAATGTAAGCACATAGGCTAGTACCAGATTTGAGAGTTGGTGTATACTGAGAATTACTGTATAAACTTCCTTTGTATATAGAAATGTGTTTCTACTTGTCATAGATTTGGTGTTTTTGTTCTTAGAAAACGGAACAAAAAACATATTGAGAAGTGTATAAAATTTGCAGGTATGAGTTGATGGAAGTCATTTTCAGTTACTAGCATGGAATCATGTGTGTTCAGGCGTGCTAGCTCTGCAGAATAGCCATTCCATATCCATCTGTGTCTTAAACTCTTAACTTATTGCTAGAACAAACCAGATAAATCATGGATTTTAACATAAAGCAAAGCATATGGGCTGGAAAAGGCAAGACCTTGGGTTTCCTTGCATTTATAAATGTCTGAAATAATTTTGCTTAATGCAGATCATGCTGCTTATGTATATACAATATTTTAACTTGCTTTGCTCACAGAAATTTTATAGTATTGTACAAACAAAGCAAATCTATTGTTCATTATTTCATCTTCTCTGGCTAGTGCTATATGCTTCCTTCCAAAGCATGGCATGAATATAATCCTTTTTGTTGTAGGTCTGGTGGTGGTGGAGGGGGACACAGCACAACAGCAAGTGCTAATGAGGCCAGACATGTACACACGCAAAACAGTTTTGGCTTAGGATACTAGTGCTCATGAATGGACTAAGAGAAAAGCCGAGCAGCATTGAGGCCACAGAGCAGTCAAGGCCATGCTGGCCCCCCCTCCCACTTTCACCCACGCAATGTTTTGGGTGAAGCCACCTCCAAGTCATGCTGGCATTCCCACAGTAGCTGATGGTGCGAGGAGAGTGAGGAGGCCACTGCCCAGCCATATTGTCATTCATTCCGCCCTCAAAAACCCATGGCGCACAAGGTTGTATGTGAGGGTGCTTGGCAGTCAAGATGGTGTTTTTAGCACATTAATCATGACAAAGAACCCGGCACCTCAAAAACAACTTGCTTCAATGGGACCAAATGGTGATACAGGTCAGGAGGGTCAGCAAAGCGACCAAAAAGAGTCCCTTTACTCCCCAGGGTATCCTCATGACATAGGCATGAGAGCCAGTGTGGTGCAGCAGGATGCCCAAATTCTAGGCTCCATTTGCTCATGAAGCTGACTGAATGACGTTGGGCTGGTCACAGAATTAGCCTAAACTACCTTGCAGGATTGTTGTTGCAAGGGTAAAATGGACAGAAGATGGAGGAACATGTAAACTACCTTGGGTTCTTTGCATGAGGAAAAAAATGTGAAATATACATGTAAATCAAATCAGGCAGCTTTTTGTTGGGATGCTGCAGATGCTAAGAAAGCCAACTGGCACAGCAGCAGCTGCAGACTCTGGTGAAGGGCTAGAAAGGGGGAGCTGGAAATGGATGTAAGTGTAGGAAGCATGGTGCTTAGACCTGCTGAGCACCCTCTCCATGCTCTGATTAGACCTGAACAGGCACCAGGTACACACAAACACCATCCAAACCTATGTATGCTCTGAATATATGCCAGATGCTTGGTGGTGCACAACTCCAGGCTCATGTGCAGAAGTTCTATTTTGGTGTACAGTGGTTGGGAGTAAAGCCAAAAGTACAACCCAACAATGCCTCCTCCAAGGTACACATACATACCTGTCCATTTGGGCCATCTGCTCCTGAAGAGTCTCCTTTGACAGCGACAAGGGAAAGCACAAATATAAACCTAGGCTCTGCTTGCAAACAGTCACATGGCCATACAACTGTCACACAAACAAGACTGCAGGTTTGCAGAATAGGTACGAAGGGAAACACATTTTCCAGGAGCCTCCACAAATTCTTCTCCCCACCCCGCACAAAACCTACAACCTTCCACTAACTCAGAACTCTTATTTCTCCATCTATACCCTTCCAAGACTAACCATGGTACTATGATGCAATTCTGGTGCATGAAAATTGAACATGTATATGCAAATCTTTGTCATTCCCATCCATTATGGAATTTTTATTTCGGAGGTTTTGTCCTGTTTTGCTTTGAAGCCCAAAGCTTTTTATTGCAAACTAAAAACAATGGTATGTGCATTCAGCCAGAGGAAACCAGTCACAGCTGGGCATTCTGAGCCAAGTCCTTTCTCTGTTTACCAGAGCGTACAGTTTTATACTTTGCCAAAAAAAAAAAAAAAAAGCTGCATGGAAATGAATGCGTGTACCACTTACAGCTTTCTCAGAGTCTCTGTGCTTTTGGACAATGGGAGAGGAACAGAACAGGTTGCAGACTACTCACAGAGAGACAGTGGTTTGTTGTCAAGGTTTCCTAGCACTAGAGAAAATACAGGGAAATAGGTATAAAAGCTATCCCTGCACATTTTCTTCCAAAAGGGCAGCATTTAGATATCGACCCTTTCCCACATGGAAGAGAACACTTCTCCCTCAATTGTGCCATCCTTCTGCCCCCAGCCACACCTCTAATCTTAAGGGGTCATCCAGGTGGCAAGAGGACCATGGCCCTTTCCCCAAAGGGTGCCAATGCCAACCCACACAGCCTGAGCTCCCCGCCATCTCAACTACTGGTTCAGTGCAAGGAGGCTCAGAGTAGTCCAGAAGGATGGTGGACACCAAAGGCCGGTGGACACCTGGCCCCTTCTTATTCCTTGAGGAAGAAGTGCATCTTGTCGTTGATGTTCTTGCGCTCGGGATTGAGGTGCTTCAGGATCTGGGCCAGCACATTGACTGTCTTCTCACTGCTCAGCCCTGTTTTCTTGGTCTGGAATTTCTTCAGCAGATCCTTGGTAGTCATGGGCTTGCGGGTCAAGTACCGGCGCACTGCATCCTCTGTCAGCTGCACATCGCTGCAAGGAAGGAAACTGGCTAAGGAGCAAGTCCTGGCAGCAGCTGTAGCACTGAGGCTTGGAAAGAGGTTTCCACTGACATACCCCAACTCTCAGATGGGAAGTCAGGGACAGTCTTCCTGCCTCAACAACTTCTCTAGTGTGAGTAACTGCATATGGCAATTGCATAGTTTGAAAGGGCAAACCTACAAGTGCTCCATATACAACAGTGCCCAAATCCTTACAAGAGACCTGAAAAGCAGGCTAGTGTTGTTATTCCACCATTGCAAAGAGGGGGGTGCTGTGGCCAATCGAAATAGTGGCTTGCCTTTATCTGTGGCAGAGCTGGGGTGTGAATGGAAGGACTGCACCTCCCAACTTAAATTCCATCTCGAATTATACACTTATCCATTCCCTAACATCCGTGTCTGAGGTCCTTCTTCGGGAGCCCTCTCTGAAGGAAATCAGAAGAGTGGCTACCCAGAGAAGGGCCTTTGCGGTAGCACCCCAGCTCTGGTACCTGGTTTCCAGAGAGGTGTGTCTTGTGCTGATGCTTTGTTCATTTCCTAGCCAGACCAAAACCTTGTTATTTCCTCTGTATTTTAGGCATTAACCATGGTTTTTAATACTGGCTGTATTGTATATTTATATTTTTGCATGTGGCCAGTATACTGTTTTGTATCGCCGTCCTGAGATGTCTGTATAGGATGGGACAGGAATGCCCCAAATAAATAAATAAGGAAGTGAAATGCTGTTATAAAATGAAGCGTACAATGTTTTTCTCAAAAGCTCTCACACACTGGCAGCACTGTACCATTACCGAAAAGGTAGCAGTGGTGCCCAACTCACAGCAGGGACCTCCAGGCATTCTTCTGTCCTCTGCCCAAGGTAGATACGCACTGTCCTGATGAAAGCTCATGGCTGCAAAAGCTGGCATTCACACACTTACCCACTGTTGGGGGTAGACTTGCCCGACTGTGGCTGAGGGGTAGACTTCCCAGAGGCCATGGTAGCCTGGGGCCCAGCATCCAGTTTCAGCCGCTTTGCTGCAGGGAGCTCACCAGAACCTGCTTGCCGCTTGCCTGTTCCAGAGAAACAAGAGCAGCCCTGCTTCAGGACAACAGCCCCAAGGCCCCTTTCCCCTTCACCTGTCCTGGCTGCCAACGCCTGAACAGGCCTATTCTTCCCCAGGAGGGAAAATGAAAATGAAACTGGCCCTAGCAGGGTGGCTGAGGAGGGAAATGGTATCTTGGTTCCCCGCTGGTTTCAGATCTAAGCGTATCATTTAGTCCAATGCCAGATCCATTGAAAATTCTACTCCATAGAAACAAGCTATGCACCCAGACATATGTGACCCCCAAGATCTGAATCTTTGTAAGAACTGGATTTCTTTTTGTTGTTGTTGCTAGTGGAAGTGTGACCAAAGTGGATGCAAAACAAGGGAGAATGAATCAAGGCCACAAAGACGTGGTGGGAGAATGAGGCAGGCAACCCTATGTGATCACAAAAAAGCTTTGCCTACTACGCACCACAGCCTTTTGTACACACAGCTTTCAAAATGCCCCTGGAAGCCAAAACATTCACTTTAAAAAGCTAAGCCCTGCAAAGACCAATCAAAATACACTGGCATCAAACTGTACAAAACTGCCCAATAGGCAGACAAAGCCGGATCCTGCTGGGTGCTCTGCACCTCCATACCTTGTTCCAGCTTGCTGGCTGCAGCCCGCAGCGTGGAGGAGGTGCTGCCAGCATCCACCAAGGGTGTTCCTGGGCGACTGTTCCCCTGAGAGCTGCTTGCCGAGCCCTTCCGCTCCTTCTTGGGAGGGGTCTTCTTTTTCTGCAGTTGCAAAAGCACTGGCTCAACTGGGTTCACTTTTCCTCCCAAGCATCACCACTGAACATGAGCAAACTGCAACACAGGACCGGTCTGCCAGGCTTGGAATCAGCTGATGCTGGGGAAAGCTATACGGAGAAGCTAAATGGGGGAGCGGGATTACCAAGACTGGGCCACGGAGCCAGTGGGGCTAACAGCCACTTCCCCAGCACACACCTGGGCAGCGAAAGTCACTCACCCACCCTCATTTGAGGCTCCCAAAAGCAAAACTGCAAGCGCATTGGCAAGCAGATGACACAGCATTTCACAGAATAGTTCATCAGACCATGGACTGATTCACAAGGTTGCCCTAACCCCAAAGAGGTCGGAAAAACAAGCGGAAGCTGAATAGATGAGCTAATGACAGAATGTGCACAGTTAAGTCAAAAGAGAGCACCAGTGTAGTGTGGCGGTGAGACTGCTGGACTGGGGACCAGGGAGATCCGGCTTCTAGGCCCCAGTTGGCCATGAAGCTCACTGGGTGACCCTGGGCCAGACACTCACTTTCAGCCTAACCCACCTCAAAGGACTGTTGTTGTTGAGAGGATGAAAAAGAGAGGAGGAGAACCTTGTAAGCTGCCTTGGGCTCCTCCCAACAGGAAAAAATGGGTATAAATGCATTGTAATATAATAGTAAAAAAGAGCCCATTTGCAACTATAAGCAGTATTATGCAAAGTGCACAAAAACTAAGTTGCCCCATCTCATCAGGTCACAGGTAGATTGACCAGGTTTGCATGACGGGACAACCCAGAATGGGTGTCAAACTATAGGGAAGTGGCACACGGCCACAGGTTCATTAATGCTCTTTTTTAAAAGAACTGTACCTCAGACATGTGCACTTCTTAATTCTTTTTGTCAGTGTACAATCTGAGGGTTTGAAATGACATGCCCCAATTGTGCAACACCCCCTCATGAGCATTCACCCAGGGAGGCTACCAAGAACTTTTATTTTTACTTCAGTTTCTATTGAAAGTTGTAAAATAGTAGTGACACCCTATCTTTTGAATATGCTCCCAGAGAGGTATGCCTGACACTGTCTTTGCTAAAAAGGTGAAAACTGTTTATTTACCAGGTATTTTAAGAATTAAAGAGGAAAACAATTTATATATTTCTATTTTAATATTGTTACTGTTACTGCTGTATTAGGGGGCTAGTTTTTATAATTATTGGAGTTATTGCAGCACAGTGTTTTCAGTTCTTGTTTTTATTGTATCATTGTTTTATCTTGCATATTTTATTGTTTGTATTTTGATGTTTGTCAACCTCCCAAAGAGCCCTGTAGGCTATGGGGCAGTATACAGATATGACAGAGAGACAGAACCCCTTTCAGTTCCTTTGAAGGGGATTTGTTTTGACAGTAACATATGAATTCACTGAATAGACAACATGCCATTTTGGACCCACAAAAGTGCACAAGTGTACACTTGTACAAGTCTGGCTAGGAAACATTTTTAAGAACACCAAAAATCATGCATATTTGGGAAAAAACGTTTTTAAAGGAGTGACAAACCAGAGATAGCCTCTCTAATATGCCACTTGAGCAGCTGACAAACCAGATTTTATTATTAGCTTTATATCCCACGTTTTTCTTATGAACTCAAAGCAGTTTACATCATTCTCCTCCTCCTGCTCTCACTCTTATCCCCGCAACAACAACCCTGTGAGGTAGGTTGGGCTGAGAGTCCGTGACTGGCCCAAAGTCATTCAAGTTGGCTCCATGGCTGAGTGGAGACTAGAACTTGAATCACCTGAGTTCTAGCCCTGTGCTCTTAACCACTACACCACACTGGCTCTCCAGATCATTGCAAGGTGATCTTTAAGAAAGTGGGGAGGGGGGAAGGGGGAGGGGAGAAGGAGAAAAATACTGCAGCAAGCACAAAAAGGCTAATGTTCTGGCAGGATGGGAAGACAAAATGGGTTGGGGATGGATTTAGATGTAAGCAGGTGCAACTGAGCTACTGGAAGCCAATTCATTGCACCCCTGCATGACAATCCCTTTGGCCCCCTGAAAATGCTACACAGGGATCAGGGACACTGCAAACGAGGGAAGCTGGGAGGGGACCTGGGGGCACCTTCAGTGAGCCCATGGAAGGCAGACTCTCTATTCATTTCTGTCTAAAGACTGGTTGCTATGATTCGGTTGTCATATTGTGTTATGCATCATCATCATCATCATCATCAACCTGTTTAAATTATTGTTGATTATATATGAATTTTTATCATCGTACTGTTAATGGTATGATGTGCTATATCATTCTGAGAGTTTTTACTATAGAATGGTATATTAAAGCCTTAAATACATTTTAGAGATGGAATGGAATACTCAGCTGAGACAGAACTTCCTTAATTCATAACACAATTATGATCATAATTATTTTAAAAAGCAAACAAATACAGTAATGAGTTTTTACAGAGGGACTCCCATAAAGTGAGATAACCCTCCCAGATCAGGACTTTACTGGTTCTAAAATTGTCAGTCAAGATGCAAAGCACACCTCATCATGAGATGGAGGCAGATGGAAATTACAGAATCCTGGCACTGCTGATTATACTGAGCTCTGCAGCTACTGGTGGGGGTAGTTAAAGATGCTTACTTACACCTGAAAAAAACAGTGCACATTTTTACAAAGCATATGAAGAGGAACAATATAGATCCAGCCACTTCTTGCTGTGCTCCTTTTCTATCTGCAGGGAATTAACCAGGAAGAATACTTTAAAAATGTGGTACAAGTGTGTTCTACTGCATACAGACAATACATCTGAGCTGGAAACTTCAGCAGCTGATCCCAGTACAAGAGCAAAGCCTCAGGTAAACAGCATCTGGAATTACCGTCATGAAGAGCGCTGAAGATGCTTCACTGTCTATGTCGCTGTCCTCAGATGTCTCGGATTCGTCACTGCTGTCTGTAAAACAAAGCCAGTGTGTCAAAGCAGATTACTGACTCCCCGGTCACCAGCCTCCTGAGAGGTCTGGCTACCACAGGCTCAAAAGGGGCTTCTCAGGGAATTCCCCCAGAGTGACTGCAAACTGCCTAGCCCTAAAATAAAATACTACTCTCCTGCAAGGTGGCAAGGCTGGAAAGTTGGTTTGATGCTCAAGCGCCCACTATTTCTATGTTAGAAACAAAGCAAATCAGAAGGGGCCTCCCAGGCCATCTAGGCTGATCCCTGGCTCCAGCCAGCTCCACTCATAACATGCCTACCGTGTGCATGTTCTCAGCTAGATGGAGTGTGTAAGGCTGTGTGCATGAAAAAGGTGAAATTCTCCAACAAGGAAGGAAGAATTTGGTAAGCAAGGTATGGTGCGTTTGAAGGCTTTCATTATTTAAACTGCTGTACTGGGCAAAGGAGGAGTTAGTTGCTATACAAGGCACTTGAGTCCTGCTTTCAGTGGGTAATGACACACACTTTAAAATATATCTCTGAAACTGTAAGGGCTGGAACCTTGACTTTTATTTTTTGGCAAGTGGAAGTCAAGATTCTTGGGGAGCTGAATTCTATGCCCAATACCAACCATATTCTGTGCTTCTGTGAAATTGCCACACATATTCTGTCTTTACCTTTCCTAAGTCTGACTCATGCTTCCTGTTCCCAGCCTTCTGCTTTAACTGGCTTTACTACCCTGAACTCACCTTTCTTTTTCTTCTTGTCCTGTGGAGTAGGAATCTTTTTCTCTTCTTCTTCCTCTTCCTTCTCCTCAGCAGGTTTCTCTTCCTCACTCTCTTCACTACTATCACTTGCTTCATCTATACCTGCAAAACAGCAAGGCAGTGGGTTTATGAAACAGCAGAAGTTTGCTGGCCTAACTCTGGAGCTTGTGTTGTTGTTGTTGTTATTATTATAACATTTCTATGCCACCCCTTGCCGAAGCCTCGGGGCGGCTTACAACACAATAAAATACATTGAAATACAATAGAACATAATAAATTACCATTAAATGCAAAAATACAAAAAATACACTGAGTTACAAACATAATAAAATTAAAATTATCAGTATAAAATAAGTAAATAAATAATATAGGAGACCTTGAGCCGCAGAAACTCATAATGATTCACCTCACCCAGTACAAAAGTAGATCTATCCAACAGCTTTTCCTATTCTCTGCGCCAGTGTCGATTAAAAGGAAAGGCAACCAGGTTCGTTCCCCTCTAATCCCCACCTTAATATGTGAGGAGGTTTAAGAATGTCACAGAAGCTGAGAGCACTGCCACCAGGAGACCAAACTCTCACACTGGGCTGGCCTCCCAACAGAGTCACCCAAGGCAGAACAGTCAAAGCAGAGACACCAGACTGAAAGGCATACACCCTCTTTGGAAGTAACGGTCACATCAGTAGAAGAGGATGGACATTTCTAATAGTGATGTGGGTGGAGAGACTCCTGAAGGGCAGCTACTGGGCACCAGTGGTAGTTGAAGATGACACTGGCAGCGGTGGATCTTTCACAGATAACAGCAGTGACCACAGAACAGTAGAGTTGGAAGGGGCCATGAAGGCCATTGAGTCCAACCCACTGTTGTTGCAGGACACCACATTACACCATCCCACTCAGATGGCTGTCCAGTTTCTTTCTGAATGTCTCTAGTGTGGGAGAGCCCACCACCTCTCTAGGCAGCTGGTCCCACTGTTGTATTGCTCTGACAGTGAGGAAGCTTTTCCTGATGTCCATCCTGAATCTGGGTTGTTGCAACTTGAATTGATTATTCTGTGTCCTACACTCTGGCATCAGCAAGAAGAGATCTGGACCTTCCTCTTTGTGACAGCCTTTGAGGGACTTATAGAGGGACATCAGGTCCCCACTCAGTCTTTTCAAGGCTGAACATACCCATTCCTCTCAGTTTCTCATCACAGAGCAGTGTTTCTAAATCCTGGATCATTTTCCTTTCTAATTTTTCTGCATCTTTCTTAAATCTCAGTGCCCAAAACTGGACACAGTATTTCAGATGAGGACTAGCTAGTGAGGAATGTAGGGGAACTACTACTACTTGTGATTCTTCTAGTAATGAATCTCAAAACAGCATTTTCCCTTTTTGCAGCTGCATTGCATTGTTGGCTCATGTTTAGCCTGTTGTCTACAATTACTCCAAGGTCTTTTCCAGTTCTGTTGAGCCACATATTCCTCATCTTGCAATGATGCATTTGGTTACTCTTCTCATTCTGTTGCCTTCAGCCCAGCATTCAAGGTTATCAGGATCACCCTGGATCTTCCTTCTGTCTTCTAGGGTGTCTGCTATTCCACCCAGTTTTGTATCATCTGCAAATGTGATTATCTTTTCTCTGGGATGGAGTTTGTGAGACCATGGAGATTTGAACATGAACATCTTGGTATTTGATTGTGTGGGTCTTAAGAAGTTATGGATGGGGGGTGGGGTGCCTCATGTGTAAACTGTATCACAGACAAGAGAACAGAATGGAGAGAAACAAAATGGCTTCCCATAAACAAAGGTGTCAGATGAAGATGTATTTTCCCTCCCTATCTGTTCAGTCTGTAGGAAGAACACATCATAAAGAAGACAGAAGTCCAATTTAAGATATGCAGATGGCATCATGCTACTGGCAGAAAGCAGCAATGAAGTGAAACAAGTTCTGATTAAAGTGAAGGCAAGTACAAAAGCAGGACTGAAGCTGAATATTAAGAAAACACAAATCAAGACTACAGGGTTGTCACGGACAGGTTGTCATTTTGGAGGGCTTTCTTTGATGGCACATCACATCAACCAGGTTCATGGGCCCAACAGCCTCTGTTGAAGAAGCTGGAAGTGAAGTTCTGGTGAGGGTGTGTGTGATCGTTAAACAGAGAAGGCTCAGCAGTGTCACCAAGCTGTAATTCCCAAAGCCATTTGGGGAAAAAGCCACAATACTTGAGCTGGCAGAAAAGTAATCTTCAATTGTAGTGTGTCTCAAACCAGGGCCAAGGCAGAACAAGACCTGGCTGCATGTAAACTGCAAACTGCAGCCTGCCCCTGTGATCATATCCAATAAAACCAGGCATCCTACCAAGGAGACAGGCAAACAAACCACTAGGGCAGGGATCGGCAACCTTTAACACTCAAAGAGCCATTTGGACCCATTTCCCACACAAAAGAAAACCCTTTTGACATCTAAAATGAAGATTACACCACATATATTGTTTTTTACCTTAATGCTATGTATAGCTTCATTTTGGATTTAGCTGCAGCTCTTGTTCAGTCACTAAAAACTGTTATTTTTAATCTTACATTATAAACTAGTAGGACTCCTTTCATATATTTTGAATAGGAGAACAGCTTCCTGAAGAGTCAAAGTCAGTGCTAAAGGGCTGCATGCATAAGTTCATCAGCAGTAAAAGCAAATGAATCTACCCACTATCATTAAACATTTGGTTTTCTTCAGAAACTTTGATTTATCCATGGTTGGCCCAGGGCTGGGGGGACCTCAGGTCCACAGATTGGCAGGCTATAGGTGTGTTTAGTCACAGATTAGCAGATAAACAGTCAAGTGCTGTGAATTGTGACAGGTCCCAAGAGCAGCTTTTAACATGCAGATGAAGGAGGTTATATTGGGACAAAGGGAATCCTTTCAGCAGTGTTTCGTGTAACATGAGAGCCTGCAGGAAGCTTGCTTAGCAGAGGAATGTAGCCATTTACTTAACTAGCTAGCCCTGCGTTCCTGAGTGGAGCTTCGAGCAGATCAGTGGCTGTGCTGGCGCGTGTTTTGAGCAGCAAAGCCGCAGCAGGGGGGTCCAAGAGCCACGTGCGGCTCCGGAGCCGCGGGTTGCTGACCCCTGCATTAGGGCAACAGGCAAAGGAACCCCTAGTCTGGTCTTGCAGCTGCCTAGATTCATCATCATGAGAGCAGTCAGTCCTCTTAATAAGCCACATACCTTTTGGGATATCTTCCTCTTTGGTCACCTTAGGTTTGCCCACTGCTTCCTCTGCTGAGCTGCTGTAAGAGGATAGAAAGACATCCCTGTTTGAGTAACACAACAAACTGAGGTGACAAAAAGCAGTAGCAAGGAACATCTCCAGTCTCCACTGAGGGAAAAGGAGAAAGAGCAGCAGCAGCTGCTCCTCCTGGGAATGCCCAGGCAGTCCTAGTCCTGGCTAGGAAAAAGTGGCTTCCCATCCACAGTGGTGCCTACCTTGACCCATCTGACATGTAGTCCACCTCCTGGCCTTCAAAATCCCCGTCGTCACTGTCTTCAAAGGCTTCATCATCGGAGCCCTTCTTCTTTTTCTTCTTCTTGGTCAGAGGGGCTTTCTTCTTGGGCTTGGCTGGCTTCTCACCTAATGAGGGACAACAGGCAACATTACAGTTTCTCCCAGAAGGCAAACTTCTCAAGGCCTCCAAAACCCTTGAAAGGTTTAAATTCAAGAACAGGAAAGTCCTTTATGCAATACAGAACAGATGCTGTAAGTTTGAGCATGCTAGGATTTTGGAAATGGGTTCAATACATGGAGAAGAGTGGTCAAAAGAGGCCAGCTTACTCCACTCTTTGGCACACGAACTCAGAAAGAAGCCCAGCAATGCCAGATGCAAGAGCTGGAGGGATGTGTGTAAGATTTGCCTCTAACAGGATCCCAGCTCCCTTTGGAAGGATGCACCAAGCAGTGTCAGCCTGGTGACAGCACTACCACACCTCTGAACCCTTACCTGGATGCAACCGCCCACCCTGCTATTCTTGGAAGGCAGAGCTGTCTTTTTGTCCGTTCTGCCTTTCATACATCCTCAGAGACAATGACCAAAGCCCACACAAGAAGGAAGGAAGGCTTGCTGGGTCCTGAGTGCCACTGCCACCTCTCAAAAGGGTCCTTAAGAGGTCTTACACAGACAGAGAGCCCCAGGCACAGCCCCGCACCATCAGCATCACTGAACTCGCTGTCATCTGAGCTCATCTCCAGGTCATCTTCTAGATCATGGATTTTAAGGTCGCTCCCTTTCTTTTTGCCTTTCTTCTCTTTCTCCTCCTCCTCTTCCTCGCCATGGTCTTTCAGCCGACGCTGCTGCATGATACTGAAGTGGTTCAGAACTTTGTTCCGCCTGCAGAGGAAGAAGAGCCAGACTCAACTGGATGACTTGCTAGTGAAAGCCTGACATGGCAGGGGGCTGGGGAAGAGCCACCCAGCAGAGGCATTTGCAAGAAACCAGGCTGAAGCCTTAGCAACTCCAGAAAGGCCATGCCATCTAGATCTCAGTGGCTCTGTTCCTGTTTTTCAGGAGACAACAGGGAAGCTAGCCTGAAGTGGGCAACTGGCATCTCAGCCCTCTTCAGACCCCTTAGATCTATTCAAGCCTCAGGACTAGAGTCTGCAGGCTGAATACCACACTGCAGAATGCTAGTGTAGCCCAGTGACTAAAGATGACACAGAGTGCAGGAGGACCACATAAGCCACTTGGCTTCCTTGCACAAAGACAAAAAGGTGGCATCTCAATGTAATCAATCAATCAATCAATCAATCAATCAGTCAATCCCTGATTCAAATTTTACTCCACTGGAAATCCACTAGGCAGTCTTGCCCATGCCATTCTCCTGCCTGCAATATAGTCCAGACAGTACTGACCCACTTTACAGGGCTATTATAAAGGTCAGCAAGAGCGCGAGTGTAAAGTGCTTAAAGAACAGAATGCAATACAAGTGCTTACTATTTAGCATTCTAGTTCCAGTGTGTGCTTCATGAGCAGCAGCCCTTCCATGCAAGCTGTTTTTGGGGCAGAGGGAAATGATATAGCATGAAGGTCTTCTGACCACAGGGGGTGGCAGAGAACCCTATAGGAAACACGCACTTAGAGGACCTCTCTGACCATGGCTGATAGTTTAAAGTGGGATTTAAGGCAGAACTGAAAACCTGGACACATCACCCAGCAAAAAAACCCCCTACAAGCCTAAGGTTTACTATGGTAAACCTAAGGATGTGGAACTGAGCCAAATACACCTTCTCCTCCCATTACTCACAAGGTCTTCTGTAGACCTCCCCTGTGGCACACTTCAAATTGTAAGCTTCTCAGGGCCAGAGCTATTTTTCTGAGTCACTTGCAGATGCAGATGCAGATGCAGGGCAGGGCAAAGTGATGTTAGCTGCAGCAGGACCCCTGGACTGGAAATGGGATGCCACTGAAACCTGGAAGCCTTCCAAACCCTGTCACTATCAGGCCATCTGCTCACTCATAAAAATCCAGATGGCAGGAGCCTCTCCAGCACTTTGTCTGAGGAAGCACACCTTTGCTTTTCCAGCCTGTTACAACACTCTGCCATCTCCTGGGACGGCCCAGATCGCTTCAGGATGCAAAGCTGCAGTAACTGCTGCTCCCAGCATATGGGACATTGGTGGTTTTGAACTCATATACACATTTGGAAGGTTGAGAAAGTGCCTTAAGCATCACCACAAAATGCCTAGGCAGTGGATTGCCACTTTATATCTATCTGTCGTATCCAAGGATCTTAGGCTGCATCTTGATCAGCAACCCTTTTGTTTCAGGTCTACGAGATGCCACTATGAGGGCATTAATGAGGGATTCATCTAACTCAGCTAATTGCTGGTAGTGTAGTAGAACTCACACTTCTAGGGGATTCTTTTTGTGAGAAGGTTATTATGCTGCTCAATTTTACACTGGAAAAGTCTTTAATGTTAACCGTTGTGCAGATCTGACAACACTGGATGGAAGGAGAAGCATTCACCTCTAATAATGCAATGGGTTGAGGACCTTATGATTTGAATGGGTGGCATATAGATGACACTTTGCAATAGATACTTATGTGGATATTTGCTGTCATTATTTTCCTTCCTGTTTTCCTCTTGCAGGGAACCCAAGGAAGCTTACAAGGTTCCCCTCCTCTCCATTTTCTCCTCACCACAGCAACCCCATGAGGTAGGTCAGGCTGAGAGTCAGTGACTGGCCCAGGGAACTTCAAGGCTGAGCAGTGACTAGAACCCAGTTCTCCTGAGTCCCAGTCCAGCACTGAACCACTCACTACACTGGCCCAGTTTTGCTGAATCTTGTGTATAATTGCTAGAAAGTTGCATACATGCCGTATGTATTAATTGCTAAGGATATATAAAATCCATGCACATTGAAAATAAAAAATTAATAATGAATAATGAAAATAAAAATAAAACATTTTTAGTGTTTAATGGGTGCCATGCTGGACAGTACCCTGCACTAGCCTTTCAAGGTTTTCTGTGAGTCCTGCATGAGACCCCTCTTGGGCAGGAATGAAAATCTGCACTCACCTTTCCCATTCCTCCTCAGCTTCCTCTGCAGTCAATGTGCGGTGCTTGGCAATGGGCATAAAGTTATACCAATTGTTGACTGGAAAGGCTTCAAAGGCACCATCTGGGCACTGTGTGAAGATATAGTAGGAGGTGTTCTCTGTCACACCACCCTTTTTTACTCCTTTGAATCTGAGTGAAAAGAAACATGGGACAGTGTTAAGAGTTTAAATCAAAAGCACCATTAGAAACCCTAGATCTGTTTTGGCTCCAAATCCAGAAAGGAGAAATGCAGAAGTGGGAGTAAGACACACAGGAATCATGTGTTAACAACCCTACACATTCAGGCATTCCACTTGTTACACAAAATCTGGTAAGTTCTGCTGAGAACTGAGGCTTTTAGCTTCTGTTTAAACATTGACAAAGGTTTCTGGTCCTTTTGGCTGCTCATATTTGAAAATTACACAGCACCGGAGCAGTAGGGAATCAGTTTTACTCCCTATCTTTATATAGGAATCCCTCATTTTGCAATCTGTTCCTTAAGCATGCAAATTAAGCAGGCTTTGCAAGCATTGATTGGTTTAGGACAAATTAAGGGAAGCGCTTTTTCATAGAGCACATCATTAAGCTAGGGAGTTTGCTTCCACAAGATGTAGTGATTTGGCCAGCTCTAAAAGGGGATTAGGTGAAGCTATGGAAAGTCAGGTTACCAACAGCTTTTATTTATGATGGCAACATGCCCCCTCCAGCACCAGAGGCTGGAAATATGAGCAGCAGGATGCTACTGTGCTCACATCCTGCTTGTGAGCTTCCCCCGGAGCATCCGGTGGGCTCCTCTACCAACAGCACACTGAACAGCACAGATCTCCCTGTGCTCCATCCAGAGACCTTGTTCCATTCCCTGCTGGCAAAGCTGGAGAGGTGCTCTCTGAGGGCCACCCAACACTTTCCCTGGTGTGAACAAAGCCAGGAGCAGCAGCAGCCTGCAATTCAACACAGGCAAAAAACAGCTCCCCCTTCCACTGCTCACTTGCGTCCAGCCTTGCCATTGACTTTGAGGAGCCAGGGCTGGTCTTCAAGCCTGAACTCTTTCAGAACGATGCCATATTTCTTGCGCCGAGCCTCCTCCCGCAGTTTGCGGTTGAACTCACTACCAGCTCCCGACTCAGGCAACTCTTCCTCCTGGTAGATCTTTTTGTTGCTGAGATCACGCTCCATCTTTGCCTGGGGAGAAGCAAGGAAGAAAAGTCCCAGGGAAAGCACTGCAGGATCTCCAGTGGGGCAGTGGGCATCCCGCTGCTGCATGTGAAGAACTTTCTTGCACAAGCTGTAAATTTCAACCCAGTAGCCACGTCTATGATCATCCAGTTCATGCAGTGCCTGTTTTTAATTTGGCTGTAATCATATGATTGCGGTAACTGTGAAGACCAGGGTTTGGCTGCAGGAATGCGAAATAGCAGAGGAAGCCCCACAACCAGGCCGTGCATCGTCAGGTAGGCCATGGGACTCCCCACTGCTGAGACACATGGAACAAGTTTTTGTTGTGTGTTCTTTCCCACATGATCTGCTCATTGTCCCAGGCTTCTTTAGCTGTCTGAGGTCCAGCTGCCGGAAACAAGGAGCAAGGCCTTTTCCATTTGATACCCACCCTATGGAATGCCTTCCTACCTGAGATCCACCAAGTCCCAGCACCCTGTGTTGCTGAACTTGGTGATTTAGGAAGGCCTTCAACAGAAATAGCTCTCTGCTTTGGATATGTTAGGCTTTGTCGACGCCTTCATTTTGGTTTTCTGGGCTTTATGCCTAGTGCTTGTTAATGCTAATTATTCCTACTCCGACTACACTGCATTAATATCCTGCCTTTTTTCCTTTCGCAAGAAACCCAAGGCAGCTTACACAGCCCCATTTTAGCCTCACAATGACAACCCTGTGAGGCAGCTTAGGCGTGGAAGTGAATGACTGGCCCCAAGTGTCCCAGTGAGCTTCATGGCACAGTCACCTTGTCCAGCACTCTAACCATCACACCACACTGGCTCTTTAGATACCAGTATCTTCTTTGAGTTGTTTAATGTATTTTCTGGTTTCAGTTTTAATGCACGTGTATTTCATATTTGTAAGGTACTTTAGAAAAAGCAGGATTTACATCTTCAAAATCAGGCAAATAAAAAAGGCCTAACTCTTAGTGAGGTTGTAAACCTAGGTAAACTATGCAACTACAGGTGGGCTCAGCTGATGCATCTCCAAATAAAAATCTCTTTTTGGCTCGGTCTTCTCCTTGGCCTGCCCATGTTCTGTGCATGGCATGTTCTTTCCCCGCAATTCATGGAGAAGGATTCCATCATATGAGCCCCCATCTCCAACCTGAAGTGGTACAGCTCAGATACAGGCTTGCCACTTCGGTGAGAGCTGGATCTGAGTCATGTTGGACCTCCATCCCATAAACAGACACACAGTGAAGCAGGCTTGTGTGGGCTATAGATTCTCCTGTGGCCCATGCTGCTAGAATGGAGGAGGAAGGTTGTAGCATAATCAAGGACTTGTTCTAGGCTGGTTGAGAGGGTGTGTGCTCTTCCAGCAAAAAGCACTGTGCCCGAGAATCCTACTATAAAGACATATAGTGTCTCTGTGATTTATTGTGTATATTATCATTTTTATATCCCCAGTCCTTCTAAAGAGCTCACAAAGTAAGAATAAATAAAGTTAAACTAATATCACACATAAAAAGACATGGAAAAGTCTTCAGTGACTTTTTTCAAGCAGGGAGAATGGAGGCATGTTGGGGTTTCTATGGATTCCAGGCAAGGCCACCACTGAAGAAAGCCCTGCAACTGGTATTTGCTCTGAAGACCCAGTTGAGCAGAGAGTCCTTCAAATGACTGTGTCCAAGGCTATCAAGCAATACACTCAGCATACAAAAGACAACACACTGTGGCCTGGCTTGCTACCCTGTTAGCCTAAGTGCAGGGCCTTACCTGGTGCCAGGTGGCGAAGTTGACCTTGTCGGCAGCATTGAAGGCCATAATGTTGTATTTCTTAGAGGTGTTCCTGTGGCAGAAATGAGTCAGATTTGGTGTCCAGCACCCAAAGCTGGAGAAAAGTGGGAATGCCCCACAGCGGAAAGCCTTCTTCTGGCCAACAGAAAGGAAGGAAGGGTTTTCCATCAGGAGGGCTGCCGAAGTGTGCAGTATGGGCACGCTTTGGCATTCTTGCTGGCCAACGGCTTTAAGGAGCACATGTTAAGGTATATCTGTACCAAGCGGCATGTACCCTGCAGCTCTCCCTCCAGTTCCCCTCCCAGGTTGCCCATTTTTTCCTGTGCCTGTCATTGCACAGTAGACTGCAGCAGGCTGATCAAGCCAGGAATCCCAACCATTGAGTGCACCACCTTGCAGAGATGTCCTAGCCATGATGTTTCATGGTTGGAACGCCAAGTTTTTGAGTGTGTCTCCCCACCCAACTATTTTGTGCAGCAGTGGCAGCCGCAGGAACACTGCAGACAGAAGCTATCTCACAAGGCAGCAAGTCCTTGGCAGAGTTGCCAGAGAGAGGAGGAAGACAGAGGTTGACAGAGAAAATAATGCATCTCATTGTGAAAGAATGCAAAACAGTGGTGAGGTGATAGCATTCAGGGTGGCTCTGGCCCTTCCCACAGGCACGTGGCCCCCGAGAAATTTCCTCTGAAGGAACTGCAAGCCTAGATGAAAAAAAGCTCGCCCCCTCACAGTCTACTACATGCTAAGAATACCCAAACAAATCTTGGGTGATGTCATGGCTGGCGTCAGCAGAATTTCAAGAGACCATGTGGACTAGAGAAGAACAGTTATGGAATCTGTTTCTACAAAACTGCCTCTTCCCAGGCAGCAACTTGCACGTCAGATTCTGATTCCCATTTGTTTCCTATTGAGGCATTTTGCTGATCCCTAGGGGAACAAGATGCTGGACACATTAGACCCTAGGCCTGGTTTAGCACACCTTATGTATGCTTATATATACTTAAGTTATACACTTAACAACCACAGTTAAGTATGAGGACTAATTTGGTCAAGCAGGCAGAGCATCCAGCTCTGCCATGAACAACCAGCACATGGGATGGGGCAGGAGACTAGACTGTGGCTTCAGTTCCCCATGCAGTAAAACAAGAACATCAACAGTACATGCAGCTGGAAGGAGGAGAGAACCCTAATGTACTTTGCACACAAGTGTTGCAGAATAAAACACAAGCTGCAAAGCGATAGAAAAAACATTTGTGGCTTTAGCAATCTAGATCCTTAATTCTGAACAAACAGAGTAGGATACAAGCCACAGACATCCACCATGCACTCATACAGACTTTACATATGTATATGCCAATGTTTCTCAAGTATTTTGCACTCAGCCTCCTTCTAAACATCATCTTAGCTGCCACCCCATCCCAAACAGCAGCAGCCATCTTTTTCAACAAGCAAGTACACAGAATCCTTGCATACAGGCATATTTATGCAAATCATATCTCTTTCTGCATATATGTATTCTGTATATTCTGTGGATTAGGACTATAACATTTTCCCTTTCTCTTGGCAGTTCACATAGTAGTTTGAGTGGCTACAATGCTAAACTACTGTCACTAGTAAAAAGCATCCCTGGTTCTACCTGTTTCAAGATCCTCCTCCTCCCAGGAAGTTCATAACCCACCCACCCCAAGTGCCTTGAGCATTTATACACACATGGGGACCACCTACGCCATTTGAGAACTGCTGGTATAACCCATGCTCTTGGCTCAGGAGACTGCCTCTTAAGGCTTGGGTCAGCTTCACCTATTCATTGGCTTGCACATCTTACCCTGAAACACCCTCACCAGGAACATTAAGCGAAACAAGCAGCACCTTTCCACACACTCCATTGCTTGCAACTGAGTTTTAGATTAAGTTGTATTAGCCTGGATTACAGCAGAAAAAATATCAAGATGATGTGAAACATACAAAGGGAATACAGTGAAAGAATTAAACTTACTTGGGAACGCGGACCACATATTCAGTTGCTGTCTGGCTGCTAGTTCCCTACCAAAAAATGAGGGGGCACAAGTAAGACAGGAAACACAGAGGCTGGTCAAACTACCTGAAAGCCCACAGGACAGTGAAAGTGATCCCCAGAAATTATCCAGGAGAAAATTGGGATAGATATGCCCACATATCAGATGCTCTTTGCTTGAATCCCAGCAAGACTACAACTCACCAAAGATGTCATTTCTGGATGTGCTGTACAGGTGTCCAGGTGAGCCTTTGTAAAAGCACGAGTCTGAGGGAGGAAAGACCAAAGGTCAGATCAACACAAAAGGATGGAAACAGCAGGTCCACTGAGGTGCAGGGAGAAAGGGAAAATGTTGAAAAGGGCCAGACAGGCCCGAGGAGAAAAGAATGCCACATTTGTCAACATTCTGGTTCCTCAAAGTAGTGCCTTTACTCTTAGCAAAGTTTTTGCAAACAAGAAAAACAGGGTAAAGTACCTTTCCCTTCTGGCAGAAATCCAGACTTTCTTTAAAGCAACAACAATCACCACAGTATTATATGGGCAGAACAATCCCCTTTATCGAAGGGCATCGTCTTAAGTGTTCTGCAAAAACACACGCACATACTTCGTGGAAACCAGAGAAAAAACACGAAAAACACCCTGAACACAAAAGCAGTCCCTGGCATTAGTGTCCCCTGCTCGGGCAGCAGGCTAGGAAGGGGTCTACAAGGAGAGCCGGGCCCCGTCTGCTGCTGGGAGAAATGGGAAAGAGGGTGCTGGGGGCAAGGACGCCCGGGTCTCTTGCCCGGGGTGAACCCCGGGACGCGAAGAGAGGCAAAGCCGGGCAGCCGGACTCCTCGGCCGCTCAGAAGAAAGCCGAAAGCCGAAAGCCAAACGCCAAAAGCCAGGGCGCCTGAATCCGGCGACGAAGGAAAGCCAAGGCAAGAGCCACCTCCCCGCCCCACCTCCCAGGAATTCCCTTCTCTTCGCCCTCCCCTCATGCACACGCACCTGGGCAGCTCGCGCTCCTCTCCGTTTCCTGGAGCACGCATGCGTTAAAACCTGGCGGCCACCAAGGGAAAATAGTGCTACCGGTTCTCTGAGCGAGACTTCCGGTACTTGATCGCAGCTAGTAGCACCCTCCATGTCAGGGAACCTAATATAAAGCAGACGAGGACAGAGAGTCTCATTTCGTAGCTGGGCTTGGAAAGAAATCCTCCTGGTCCCGAGCCAAAATTAAAGACAACATCATCTGACCATGTTGCCATGTGCTGTAGTGGTGAGAGTGCAGGACGGGGACTCAGGCGATCTGGTTTCTAGTCCCCCCTCAGTCATGAAATTCACTGGGTGACTTTGGGCCTGTCAGGCGAACCTATTTCATAGGGTTGTTGTTTGGATAACAATGGAGAAGGAACCTTGGGTTCCTTGAAAGAGGAAACAAGGAGGAAAATAAATATAACAAAATCTCTCCATAAAATTCCACGAACCACGCAAACCAACTGCAGAATAAAAAGCTTCATCTGGAAGCATAATCTTTGTATGCTTCCATGCATGTGTAGAAAGGCGGTCTAACCATAGGTTGAAATCTGGTAATAAAGCAACACGAGCGAGTTTTTCTAGCCTCTCAGCAACGGTTCCGGCTGGAAACCGGGCACAAGCACGCACCGTTCAGGCTGCTCCTAGGCAGGCGTATGTGGAAGTAAGCTTCACTGATGTTACTGGGGTTTGCTCCCACGTAATTGTGCATATGAGTGCCGCTTAGTCTGGGAAACTCAGCTCTTAACTGTATCCTTGTAAAATTTTATCTGGAGTTACAGAAATATTATAAGCAATTATTATAAGGAATAATAGGAAATAATTGCATTAAGTAAAACTAAGCAAGTTTTGGATTTTTCCTAATTAGGCAACGCTACGCCCCGCAATTGTTGGAGGATTCCTTCAAAGCCTGCCGCGAAAGAAAGCCTTGCCCTTCACGTGTTTTCAGTGTAATCGCCATTGCTATGTGCTTCCACCATTTCACGTTCAATACAGAGGAACCCAAGCGGAACCTGAAGTTCTGTGGCGCGTCGCAGCTTGCTTTGGGATTCTTCGGAGACTGACTCCACCCGCTGACCGAGAATGACAGGAAGCGCATATGGGCCCCTTGTCGGAAGCTGGGAAGGGGCGGGATCCTTGGGGTTAATATGGCAATCGTGCGGAACGCCCCTTTTTGCAAAGCTTAAAATAAAGCAAGGTAATGTGGTATGTAGGGCGTTTTTATGTCTAAACATGCACCAGGTTGCTCCCGAAAATGGATTCATCCAAACAGTAGCGAAGCAGTTATTAATTTCGGATGGATTGCCATATGAGGGAAATGAGTGCATCATATTTTAATAATGTTTCGATGTTAGCAATTAGGAGGATAGGTACTTGGAGGAGGGCTTTCTCTGCGGTGGCGCCCAATCTATGGAATGCGCTCCCCAGAGAGGTCCGCCTGGCGCCGTCGTTATTTGTTTTTTGTCACCAGGCGAAGACCTTTTTATTCAAGCGTCATTTTAATTGTTAATGTTATTTTTATTTTAAAGTTTTTTGGCCAGGGTGACTTATTTTATATTGTTAATTTGTTTTCTATTTTTAATGTATTATATTTTAATTTATGTTGTGAGCCGCCCCGAGGCTTTGGCGAATGGGGCGGCATAGAAATGTTTTAAATAAATAAATAAATAAATAAATATTTCACCTTAAAAAAATCCTACCCTTCCTGCAAGGATTATCCTATTTTATCCCACAACAACCCAGTGAGGTAGACTAGATAGAGTGAGTTGCTGGTCAAAATCATATAATCCACTTTGTGGCTCAGTATGGATTTGAGACTGGGTTCCTCAATCTAGAATGGGCATTTTCACAACTACAAACATGCTTGCTCCCAGCTGTGCATATAGAGAGTTTTGCATATCTCAGTACCTGCTTGGCTAGGAGAGCCAAACAACAGTAGCTCCTTATCTATTATTATTATTATTATTATTATTATTATTATTATTATTTCTATGCCGCCCCTTGCCGAAGCCTCGGGGCGGCTTACAACACAATAAGATACATTCAAATACAATAGAACATAAGGTTTACATAAGGTTTCCAGGTGGAATCAGCTATTTAAGTGAAAATTCCACTATGCTGGCCATTGGAAGCAATTTGTACAGTTTACTGGGTCTCTTCTCCATAAGAACATGGAGAACAAATTGACATCTACTTTCTTGTTGTCACGTGCCATCAAATTGTATCTGTCTTATCACAAGAAGGCAAAGCTCTCTGGAGAGAACAATAATTATGCAAGGGAAAGTCAAAGGCAGAAGAAGAAAAGGAAAACCAAATAAAAGATAAATTGTCACAGCCTGGAGTTCACAAGAGTTGATCAGGTCTGTCAAGAACAAGGCAGTTCATGTTGTTCTTGTTATATGTGATTATGCTTCTTTCTTATGGCAACCGTTAAGAATGAAGGCCCTCCAAAATGTCATATCTGTGACATCCCTGCTTAGCTGTTCTAAATGCAAGGCAGTAGCTTCTTTTATTATTATGGCATGTGAAGCCCTGCATGCTCTAGGACCAGGCTATTTGAAAGCTCACGTTCTCTTTTATGAGACTGCCTGCCTTTCAGCTCTGTAGGAGAGGCCTTTTTCTCTGAAGCCCCACCCTTAGAGGCACATGTGGCTAGGAAGACATGAGATCACCTTCTCAATGGCCATTCCCAGGCTAAGTCCCCATCAACGGAACCTCACAGGGAAAGGAAGTGATTTGGAACAAGGAAACAGGGAGAGGGGAGATGTAACAAGGAAAATTCTTTAGTCGAAGGAGGAGGGGCCTGGATCAGATAACAGGAGGGAACTGGCACTAGACAAAATAGCAGTACACTTGCTCAATGACCTCATGAGTATTAACTAACACAACCCACATAGAAAATAAGCGCTTTATACTACACATGGGAGGTACAAAGTAGAGTGAAGAACAGGTTTTGGAGTGACACATGGAATAGGCGGATGGAAAGATTGTAACCACCCAGTACCTCAGCAAATGAGGGAGAGGAAGAGGGAAAATGCGAACAGGGAAAGGGCATAAATATGAGATGTGAACATGTGCTCTGGGAGTTGGGAAGGGGAAGGAAACCCTCCAACTCCCTTTATTGCAATAAAGTTTCAAAATAAAAAAACTCTCTGTTGCCTGGTGCATTTTTTCTTCTGAGGAAAAGGAAAGAGTGTTGCTAACAGAACCCAAGCTAACTGTACTTTACAGCTTTTGAATATATGTGGTTAGCTGCATTGAGCATAATGTATTATGTCATCAGTGTACAGATGATACCTCAATTTACCTCAAAGCAGGTTACAACATAAAACTTTACAATACAACATGTATGCAGTTAAAACACAGAAAGACAGAATATGAAATGTTTCACTAAACAATATACTTTAAACCCAGAAAACATCATCCTCATAAATCATTTAACTCCAAAAAAACTAACACACAAAAAGCCTGAGTAGTAAATTGTAGTGAAAAGGCAGGATGTAAATTAAATAAGTGCAGATATGAATTTGTCTTAGATATAACTAGCTTAAAGGACAAGAGAGCCGGTGTGGCGTAGTGGTTAAGAGTGTGGGACTGGGACTCAGGTGATCTGGGTTCGAGTCCCCGCTCAGCCATGGAGCCAACTGGGTGACTTTGGGCCAGTCACAGGCTCTCAGCCCAACCTACCTCACAGGGCTGTTGTGGGGATAAGGAGGAGAAGGAGAATGATGTAAGCTGCCTTGAGCCCTTTGTAGGAAAAAGGCAGGATATAAATCGAAAAATTAATAAATCACAAGTTCACCTTTCTGTGAGCATCTGAACAGATACGGAACAGGATCACCCTGCGCCCAAGCCAGATGTTTCATTATTGGCATAACTGCAGGATGAATAGAATCTATGCACCCTTTTAACAACAGTTATGCACCAGCCACTTTTGCACACGTCCATGTAAAATCCGTATACCTGTTTACTCATGTCGACTGGTTCTTGTAGAAGAATTATGCAGCGAACTTAATGTATATACAGGACATTAAACAGACTGAAGTGAGACAGACCAAATCCTGAAGATGAGAAGCAGCAGAGGGAGGCCACACCAGGGGTCCCAGAAGGCTTCAGATCATCTCCCTGCCTACCCTTCCAGTATCTTTTCTTATCCGTTCTTGTCTTTGCTTCACTTCTTTTGCCCTGTGAGTCACAAGCAAAGGAGAAAGGTACTTAGATTGCCTCTGCTGCAAACCTAGATTAGACTTACATTTCCTCCAGACTGAACCATAAACCAAGATATGAATGAGACGGACTTTTCTGGATCTTGCCTCTCTCACCCCTCCTGTCCAACCATCCTCAGGAAGAATGTAACAGCTGTCCCATCTCAAAAGCAAATCTTGTTTGACCCAGCTTTGCCTTCCCCCATAAGGTCAGAAAATCCATGACATCAGATGTCTGTGACATCAGAAAGACAGCTCAGGGAAGTCACGTGCTCCCAAGCTGAAGTGGCCAAATTAGTTTTTTACAGGAGTACAAAGTTTGCTGGGCAGTGCCTGGAGGCCCTGGGTTGAGCCATCAGGATGGGAATCTGCCACGGCAGCCTCCCCCAGACCACCAAGCCCTTGAGGAGGGAGCTGAAAGGTAACTGGTCGCATTTCTTTCTGTTCTGTGCATGCTGTAGGTATTCCAAATAATCTTTCAGCAGGCAACCCAGGCAGTGGGCTTCTGTGAGGTTTTACTTCTAGCTCTGGGGCAGAGAAGGGCATCAGTGTCATCCTCCTCAGGACACAGTCTTCTGGAAACATTTGTACAAGTCTCAGCAAAATCAACATAAGCTTTCTGGTTGATCCAATATGCCTTCACCAGAGAATTCTTCCACATGGGCCTGATCTGTTCTCTTCCCTTTGGCTACCCTTAACGGAAACATCATCTGCACACTGAAGCACTTGCCCCCTCCCAGGCTGGTTCAGGAACAGAAATCACATTTTCATGTTTCTCCTACTGTCCTTGCACAAATCCTCTTTGTTTTAGGGGAAGCCCCAGAGGGGAATGGCCTGGTGCATTGTGCTCCAGTTTCACTAGGGAAGGAGAGAGCTGCCATTTGAAATATATTTGAGTCCACACAAGAGTGCACTTAAAAACAGAAGTGAAATTGGAGAATCACAACTTTGTCTAGAGAGCCTGTTTGGATGAAGGATATCACATTAACTGCAAGTCAAGTATTAAGAGAAAACTGGTATAAGATGCATTTTTGGTGGTATATTACCCCAAAAGGTATACAGAAAATGGACAAGAACTTAAATGGAAAATGTTGGAAATATAAAGATGGGACTTTGTACCCTGTGTGGGGGGCATGTGATAGAGTTAAAAGATTTTGATACACATGGAAATGCAGAAAATACCTAAACTGACTTTCCAATGAATGCCAACAATATGTTATTGAGTATTGTATCAGAGACTATCCCAAAGATTATGATAGAGTTATTTAAATATATGACAACAGTGGCAATAATATTAATTGTTTCAAAGTGGAAAGCCAAAGAGTGCCCAACTGTCAAAGATTGGAAAAATAAGTTAGCTGACTATGCAATGATGGCAAAATCGACTAATTATATTAATAAAAGGCCAATCAAAGAATTAACTTAGAGATGAAAAGTTTATTATGAGCAATGTGATTGTTTATTTTATTATTTTTTAAAGCAAAATGACTGTAATAAACAGAGCAAGCTGAAATAGACAAAATTGCCAAGGGAATTTGATACAAATCTGTCCAGTACAATCAGCCCTTGGAATCTGTCCATTAATACTTCATACAAATGTAATCCAAAAAAGAAAAAGAAAAAAGAAAAATCTGTGCAACAACAGATCCTCCCATCTCTTCAGATCCTCCGCAGCTTTCCCCATCCTTCCCAAACACCGCAGATCCACTCATCACACTGCACATTCCTCTAACAACCTTCTGCACAGTGTACTCCACCGGTCCATTTCTCCATTTGTCAATTGGTGAGGGCTTTGATGATCTCCATCCAGAATCACCTCCAATTCTAATTCTGACATATTCCCTGAAAGGCTCTCTGACACTATATTTTTAAGATGCATGAAAGACTGCTTTGATTCTCTTAAAAGAAAAATTCAATGCATTAAGTGATAATATCTTCATTCTGTCTAAAACTCAACCTAAGGAGCTCAGATGACTATCTCTTTTCAGATCTGTCATCAGCTTTCCAGCATCCAGTTCAGCTTTTCTTCTCACATTAATTCTCTTCTTCTTTGCTCCTCCCACCTCTCACATTTCTTCATACCTATAAGTAAACTACAATCTGACAGTGCAGCTTAGCTTAAAGCAGAAGAGTTAAGGGGAGGAGAGTCAAGAAAGAAGGAAAGAAGGGCGGGGTGGGGTGGGGGACCAAGGAAAGATAAGGGGTGAGGGAAGAAAAAGGACAAAAGAGGAAAGTAGATAATGCTAGTTAGTCAGCCTTCAGTCAATATTAGAATGATTAGTTCCATTCTACCTCTGTTAAAATATTACTTTGAATTAGTTAAGAGAAGACATTGTTCCAACTTTCATAGCAAGGGGCCTTGATTTCCAGTCTTCTTTAGGTCCAATAGGTGGAGCTAATGGTCTTCTTTTCATAATACATCATGTTTGTTCTTTATGATTATTATTTTTTATCCTTAAGAGGGGGAAGGACCAGTGAAAAACTCCCAAGTCCCACCCAAGAGATATAATTCTTCCTTAGAGCAAATCATGTGTAGTTTCCATCAAACACACCAACAAAAATCATCCAGCTCAAACAACCAGCAACTGCCTTAAAATGGTGATGAAGTGGGAGAGAAGCATCTCTTCCTCTGCCATGAGCTTCAGCCAAGGTCAATTTATAATGTCCAGGATTCTTGAGTAAAAATATCAGACAATTTACAGCTGCAAAATTAAGTAGAAGAGTACCCCTTTCAAAGTCCTTTCCAAGCAGAGAAACAGAAATGCCTGTTGTTTGGATCACAACCAAAATCATAACCTCAGTTGTCCAAAAAGCACCATTGTCCTTCTCAATTCAAAAAGCACAATTAAGCACAAAAATTCACCCAGCTAGTATTCTCATACCAAGGTCAGTTTACAGTATTCTTCATGCTTAGTTCTACAGTAGAGACATTAAACAGCTTTGCAAATAAGACACTATCAACAAAAGATTATCCATTTCAGAGTCCCTTCACAATATGGGACTCTGGAAATGCTTTAAGAATTCAAGCTGCATCAGTTGGTATGCTATTCGCTTGGCTAAGAAAATGTCATAATATAAGAAGAAATAATAAGAACTAGAAGAAAGATAAAAGGAAAAGAAAAAAAAAAGAAAAAGTGGGTGGGGGGGGGGGGGGGGGCGGGGGCAACTTTGTTGACTGTTTCCAGTACTAGCTTATCAGGCCATCTCAATGAAATCAGAGCTGCAGACCTAGAGTCTTGACACTCAATCAGAGAGGTAAACACCCCTCAGGGTGATTTAGAATCACCCAAACATGATAAGGCACAAAGCAGCAACAGCTTCCATTCCCCTGGAAGTCAGCAATGTAATTAATTGTTAAAGAAAATATGACTTTTATAAATGTCAGTGATCTCTATTTCAAAGTTAAAGCAATACAATGTATAGCAAATTTCATAGGCCTGACAAATTTTGATTGAGAATTGAACTGCTTGGATGGAGCTGTCACACCGATCCGCAATATAGGCTCAGAATCAGTTTCTTGTCAGGGCAAACAGTTTTATTTACAATTGAATGCGTGGATCCATGGGTGCCTAAAATAGGAACACCTCCATGTTAATTTCCTTAGGGTTATATAGAATACACAAAAGGGGAGTGAATACAATACACAGGAAGGTGATTGGATACTTTGATATGGATAGGAAAGTGATTGGATACACGTCACAACACCATAAAGAAAAGTTACATTTCACTCTAAGTAGATGCCTTTGACAGGCCTTCTAAATTAAAGTTATCTTGAACAGGCCTGCCAGAAAGGTTACATTTGTGAACTTTATAGGGTCAAGGAGGCACTTTGGCAAACCCATAAAATACAAAGATAGCAATTGACAGTATCCACTAATGGGGCGGGGTCATTTGGTCTTCACCACCAGACACTGAGGCCCCTTTGTGATCTGTTTATGGCAAGGCAGTGAGGCGGGATGATATACCTTGTTTTTCTGTGTATGGAACTATGACTGAGGGAGGGTTTTGCCTCTTTTATGAATGTGTTTAAATGTTGATGTTATGTGCAATATTTGTGGATCGGCCCTTGGCACCTTCTTTTTCTTCATTTCCCTTTTCTTCTTCTTGTACTTTGTGAAAATAATTTTTTAAAGATCTGGAAAACAACAACAAGAAGTAGGGAATCATGAGTGCTCAATAGATGTGTTTGAAGAAAAGCCCCTTATTTTAGAAATACAAAAAGAGATGCAACATGGAAGTCTTGAATCTATATATATATTAGTACCTTGATTGACAGTACCAAACTGGGGAAAATCCAAGTGATTCATGGGTGACACCCTGCCCGTGACCTGCCAGTTGGCCATCCCCAGCGGATGCTTTTCTTGCCATCCTTTCCCATATCCTTCTAGCTCACCATAGCCACACTTCAAACGCCAGCGTGGGCCACAGTCTCATTACTTAGACTGGCATTTCTTAGACCCGTGCCGGGTTGATCAAAACAGTACAGCACGACTCCACTCAGATGGTGGTCCGAAGGAAGCCAGAAGGGGCTGGGGAGGAGCACAAAGAGGGGACCCGGTGCAGGCGGGAGGCCAGTGTCTCAGCCCTTCGCTATGCATGCTGGCAAGGAGAAGGGAGTCAGAAACAGCCTCTGCTCACTGATATTGCCTTCTTTTCTCAGCCTCAGTTAAGCTGTCCAGGATGCACATTCCCGTTTGGCATCCGGCTTGTTTATGCCCTGGGTCTGGACCTCTTTTTCTGTGAGCCGATGGGCTGCTCATTGGAGGGGGAGCCATTGTGTTCTGCAGCAGCAAACACAGCAAAGAGCCATGGGAACCTTAAAGGCGAATGTGTTGATTCTGGTGTAAGATTTCATGGGCAAGATCCACTTCAGGGATCCAAGTGGTCAGAAGGGATTAAAGCTGGTGGTTCTGTGGAGTGTTGAGCCCTGAACCCAACAGACTTTCATCTGGACAAGGAAGGACTGCTATTCTGTGCTGCAACACGAACAAGGGGGATTTCCAACACATCTTAAAGACTGATGAATTTATTTTGACATAAGCTCTTATACTGGCACAAGGCAGCCTTCTCCACACAGGCCACATCCAGATGTTTTGGCCAGCAATTCCCATAATTCCTAGCAAGAGTCCATGCTGGTTGGGGATGATGGAGGTTGTAGTCCAACACATCTGGAAGTTGCTGTGCTGAGGAAGGCTAGCTTACGGCGGTGCAGGTAAGGGCCTGCTTCAGCTGCCCATGCAGCTGCCCAGGTGTTTCAAGGGCATTCACATTGCCGGCGCTTGACGAGGGCTGGAGGGAGGAGCTCATGGCCCAGTGCTGGAACCCACACACCACCCTGGACCCAGCGGGTATCAGACAGATTGGTGTGCTCAGTGCACACAAGGAAGCGTGGCCCTTCTTTACAAAGACAGGCACACCTGACAACCGGATGGCTTATATTGTCAACAAATAACAATCCCTAAAAGATAAATATGATGATGCTGCAAGAATAAATGCTCATCTCCCATCTTGCGGAGGATTGAAGAACGGATCGCATACAGACATGGCTCGCAAATGCGTGGGTGTGTGTATTTCGCCTGCTTCGGTTGAAAGGTAGGTGTAATTGATACAGTACATCAAAGTTCCTTTTCTCTCCATTTTATGGTTTTGCTTTATTGAAACTTATAATAAACAAACAAGCAAGCAAACAGCCCAAATGGATGGATACTCCATGTTTGCATGAAGCCATGCCTCCTGGCATAGGTGATCATGCAATTCTTTTCTGATTGCGTAAGTTCAAGGCAGCCAAACCTGACAGCAGAACAGTGGGCTGAGCAGACCATCGGTCTGACCCTCAGTGGAGCCCTTTCTTGCTGATGAGGCGCGATCACGACCAGCTTGGCAGTTCTGCACAGGATGCCGGACGACATGCTCTTGTGCAGTTCTGCTCTGTCCCGGCAGAGCTTGTGCCAGGGGACACGCTGCAGACCGTGTGTGGCCTGGGTTGGATGCGCTTGTCCTCTGCTCCGCTGCCATTTTGCTGAACATCTGTTCGCCTAACTTCTTTGCTGCTTGCTTCAGGGGCGGGGAATGTGTGGCCTGCCAGATGTTGTTATCCTTCACTTCCTATCTGACCTAGTCAGTATGGACAATGGTGGGAGGGATGGCGGAAGTTGTAGTTCAATAACATCTGGATGGCACCAGATTGCCCCACCTGGTTTATTTGGATTGTTCCGTTTTTTAAATATTGCCAACTCTAGCTTGTTTACTGCCTTTAATTCTCTTTTGGGAAAACAGGAGGAATATACGCTTTTTAAATAGCATAGATGCAAACTCTATGGCCTGGGGTGGCAGGGATACCACTGACAAATATCTGACGCTTGCTCTTAGTGCCATTTTTGTGTGCCTCTCTCCCTCTCTTTGCTGCAGAGAAGCTGCAGAGTCCCATCATTGTCTTTATGATAGGAGGTCCAGGCTGTGGCAAGGCAGTCCAGAGTTCCCGCATGGCCGTCAAGTACAATTTCTACCACATAGCTATCGGAGAGCTGCTGCGGGAAGAAAGCAGCAGGGCCACCAACAAGGGAAAGGCCATCCGGGACATTCTGCTCAAAGGCACTCTGGTGCCCTCGGTAAGAAGCCTGACAGCTCTCCTCTGCAGAATCCGTGTCCATCAGAGCATATTAAGAATACTGGACTGAATTTGGCCCATGCAGTTTGGCCCCCTGGCTGGTTCACAGCAAATCTGTTGAACTCTGTGAATGTAGAGGTGAAAAAAGCTAAAGGGAATTTCAGGGAGAAACTTACAATTACATTTGCAGAAGCTAAATCATGTTGCATTGTAAACACTTCATTCTCGTCTGAAAGTTCATGTCCTTCAAAATATTACACCTTTGGATTATTGTATGAGAGAAAAGTAGTAGGAAAATAAGTATTGTCTTTGAAAAGTTGATACTTAACTTTCGTGTCACAAGTCATCAACAAGATTCGTAGTAGAAAGCTATGTTGTTGTTGTGAAGTGCTGTCAAGTCATCTCCAGTATGAGGTGACCCTATGAAGTGCCCTCCAGAGGGTCCTGTTCTGAGCAGCTCTGCTCAACTGTTGTGAACTCAAGGCGGTGGCTTCCTTTAGGGAATCGATCCATCTCATAGCTGGTCCTCCTCTTCTGCCTTTGGCTTTCCCCAGCATTTCTCCAGTGAGATTTCTCTTCTCATGATGTGCCTAAAGTACAACGACCTCAGTTTCATTATTTTCGCTTGCAGGAAAGCTCTGGCTTGATTTGATCTAGACCCACTCATTCATTCTGTTGGTCCCGGGTATTTGCAAAACCCTCCCCTCGCACCATGTTTCAAATGTGTCCATTTCCTTTGTGTCAGCTTTCACTCCCACTCCCACACATAGTGATTAGAGATGCAATAGGGGGGCAGTCAAGGTTCCTGGAGGTAATTCTGTTGTCCACTTCTCTCACACTCTCAGCCCCCACTTTATGCAGAGCATCCAAGACAGAGATGATCAAGTGTAAGCACTTTGAAATTCCATTGATTTCTATTAAAGTCATCTCAGTTTGTGTTTAATTCTCCTGTTGAAATAAGTAGCCCTCAAAAGTGTTTTAACTTTGGATGACTCATGCCAGTATCCTTTAGATGAATCCCAACCCCATTTGAAAATTTAGAAGTTGGACTAGTAGGCTCTTGACCCCAGTTCGTACAAAATGTTGGCAAATCATGGATTACTTAATCAGCTTTCTGAGAGTTTGACTGTAGGGCTTTATGATGTGCTGTGCATGGTTTGAGAATTAAACAAGCCACAGTTCACCTCCAATTAGTTCTCAAGTTAGCTTTGAGTTGCTTAACAAATAAACAGGTTTGCAAATAAGCATAATAACCAGTTTCAGGCGACGTGGAGCCTCTGTGGCCAGGCCAGGATGACTGGGCAGCTGCACACTGAATGCAGTGTGTTTTGTGCCCAGCACGCCACCCAGATCATTAAAGGCGTGAGAACCTGATTGGGCAGTTTTGGTCATGGCGATGAAATGGAGCCCACCTGGTTCAGAGACAGGGCGCCGCTGCGCCTCAGCTGTTCTGGAGCAGCAACTGCTGTGGCCCTCATGGCTGGCTTCTGGGCTTCCCCGGGGCACGTGGGAACAGAATGCTGGGCTAGAGTGGGCCAGTTTGTTCGCATTTATGACCCCCCACCCCTTATAGTTCACCTGTTTCTGTGGGCTGATTGTGAAATGGTGTGGAATGGAAATGAGGTGAGTGTTGTACATTCAAGCAGCCCCCTCCAGCCCCGACAACTGGGAGCCAATGGCCACGGGCCTCCTCTGCCCCCTTCACATGATGTTCAGGCCCCTCTTTCTGCAGCTTTTCTGAGAGCCAATAAAGTAGCTGTCCTGGTGGATCATGCTGGTTCGAGGGATCGGCTGCCTTGGAAGGCTCTGCCCAGGTCTGGTTGTACAGCACTTCTTGGCCAGGCTGTCTTCTAGGACACAGCCTAAACTGTAATTGGAAAAACTGCTGATGTGGGGGGTGCGGTTCCTTCTTTCTGGACTCAAGTCTGAGTGGCTCCTTGCATGACTGGAATATGTCACAAAAATGTGGCCAGATCTACCAGCAGGGCAGATCAGATAATATGAGGAAGGATGGTCTCTTGCTTTTCTCTAGCAAAATGCAGCTTCTCTGAGGACCCAGATGCATGTCTCTCCAGGGCTTCATCGTGGAGCTGCTGACTGACAACATGCTAAAAGCAGAGAATGTCAGTGGATTCATTATTGAAGGCTTCCCCCGGGAAATAAACCAAGCCAAGCTGTTTGAGGAAGTTGTAAGTGCAGCTGTGGGCTGGGAGGTGAAAGGGAAGGGTAGCTTGACCTACGGCAAGGATGCAGGATGTGTGGCCCTCCCTGTCTTGGTTAGCTACAGCTCCTACTAGCCCTAGCCAGCATGCCCAGTAGTAAGATCTCATGAGAGTCATGAGCCAACAACATCTGGAAGCCCACAATTTGCCATCTTTGGCCTATGGGGAGGTGGGAACGGTGGTGGTTCATGGGCTGTGGGGATGGAAATCTTTCTCATAGCCCAGTGCAGTGCAGCCTTCCCCATCCTGGTACAATGAGCTGCTACCCCCTCCCATTCAGGAAGCAAAGTAAAATGGCTCCGAATAAGTAGTTGGGATGAAGTCCATGCAACTATCTATACAAATTTGCACAATAGCAGGGATGTGAGAGATACAGATGCCCAACTCGGATGGTGTCACGGGAATCGCCAGTAGAGCTGAAGAAATTTGGTTCTGTTCAATACTAAGCTTTCCTACAGGACTTGTAGTTCGCAAAGCTTTCCCTGCCACCCCCTGCTATTGGAGAAATGTATTTTCTTACTGCCACTACGAGGTCAGAGAAGAAACAGCACTCCAACTCTTTGCAAAATGCCAAACTCACTAAGCCAAGATGTCATTCAGTAGAATTTTGACACTGGTAACAGCTGGCTCCACTCTGCCCAGAGAAATTGGGCTTCTTAACAGAATGACTGGCTTGGCATGCTCACTGGCTCTCCTCCCCACCATGTGAGCCAGTTGTGCCTTACATGGGTTGCTATGTCATCTGAACCCAGTGAGGAATGCAGTGAGGGTGGCTTCCAAGCCACCCCAAAACCCACGGATGGGGAGATGGTGTGGATCAGGCCAGCTGGTTTTCCCTGCACTTCCAGGGCATCATTCTCAGAATGGGACTGCAGAGCTCAGGCTGCCTCCCATGCAGAGACATTGTTGGAGAGGGGAGAACTGGGCCAGCCCATCCATTCCACTCCTGAAGGCTTGAATTGGACTGCCTGTTCCATTCTTGAAAATGTGCCCCACTTTTCACTTATGGGTGGCCCCTGGTGGGCCTCTGCACCCCTCCTTGCTCTGTCATACAATATCCATGGCCTTCTCTTCTATTCACATTCATACTAAATTGTCTGGCATACTAACTTTGGCATCTTTCCCCAGGGATGGGCAGCTTGTGCCATCCAGTTGTTTTAGCTTAGTTTCCATCACCCCTTGCCATTGGCCCTACTGGCTAGGGGTTAAGGGTGCTGCAGAGCAAAACATCTGGGGGGCCACACCTGCCTAGCAGTGCCCGAAATCCTAGTGGGAGGTGGCCATTGGCTTGCGATAGAAACCTTAGTGGATTGCTCAGTGGGACGCCTGTGTGCAGTCTCTGTCTGCCAGGTGCTTGCAATATTGAAGGCAGGACTTCATGTCATGCGCATGGGCTTGCCAAGAGAATCTGGCTGGCCACTGACAGAAACAGGAGGCTGGCCTTAAGACAGGCCCTTTCCCACCAACCCAGCAATGCTCTTCTGTCAACATGTGGACATGAAGTGGAAGCACTGGAGCCCAGCTAAAGTTTCTGCCCCTTCCTGTCTAGAAGAGGTGTGCAGGGCAAGCACAAAACAATTAACAGCTGAGCTGTGCATTTCACATTACAGGTGGGTCGTTTGCCCAACATAGTTATCGTGTTTGACTGCTCTACAGAGACAATGATCCAGCGACTGCTGATCCGAGGCCAAATGGGCGGACGTGTGGATGATCACGAGAGAATCATCCGGCAGCGGCTGGAGACCCACTATTCGCTGTGCGAGCCAGTCCTCACCCACTACCTCCAGAAAAGCATACTCCGGAATGTAGGTTTCCATGAACCTGGCTGGGCCCCTGGCTTGTCCTCCCACTCTCGCAGATCCCAGGCAGGGCAAGGCCTGGCTGCTTGGCAGCAAGCAGAGCAGCTATGCTCAGATGCAATTCTGCTGTAGGCTGGCAGTCAGTACAGTCCCTTCAGGGGTGAAGTCCCTGCTTCCCAGAAACAGGAGGTTGTCTGCGAGGTTGTGCCCACAGCAGGAAGGGTCAGGCAGCAGATAAAAGCAGAGGCAGGCTCCACTGACCTTGCAAGGCAGGCATTCATGCCCCGAGGAAGTCTAGAAGAGGAACAAGGGAGAAGACCATGATATATCGTGGCTCTTTCCAGCAGAACAGGTTGGATGCACACTTAAATCATACTTAGAGAAGATCCATTTAAATCAATGAGACTTGTTTTACGCAATGTTATTTATGAATTGCTTATATTAAAGCAGTTTTTAAAAGATGTACAAAAACTGCATGACTAACTTGTTCCATTGATCTCAGTGGATCTAACTCTAAACATGATTCAGCTTGACCCTACCCAGTGTGGGTGAAAAACCTTAAAGAATGGGTTGGGGCAGTACAGGATCATTGCTTAGAGTAGCCATATCTGAAGACAGTTTAGCCATGGGTATTCAACCTACAGTAGAACAAGGAGAGCCAATAATTTTTTTTCTTTTCTTCCTGAGATAAGTAGCCTCATTTGCATTGGAAAGCAATAGTTTATACTATGAGATTATACTCGTAGAAAGTGAAAACCACATAGACACTGGAAAGGAGGCCTTCATTACAAGAGAATGGGCGCATGACAGCTTAGCACTTATATGGTGCTTTTTAGGGCTCATGGTTGTCAGTGACTTCACTGGGGACACTTTGCTGGTGGCAATGCCTTCGATTGAGCCCTCCCACTAGAATAGACCAAGACAGAGGCTGCAACAACAATATCCCTGGTTGTTAGCCTATTCCTCGGTCCCCATACATAACAACAGAAATGAAGTCAATTTCTTAAATCTCAATTTTTACCTTTTTTACATCTATTATTCTTGGTTCTGTCCCATACAGGGATGATCAAACTTTCCACAATCCTTATAAATATAAAGCTAGTTACTTTTTTCATAGCTGTTCTATCTTGAGAACATAGAGCATCAGAAGAATTCTTCCTAATGCTACATTTTGCTGTTTTTATTTCCTAAAGCAGAATTCAGGGTCTTAGCGTGCCAAAAGGGGGCTGTGGCACAACATTAAAGACCAGGAGGAATCCAGCAGAAGATAATTCTTAATGAATAAAAAAATTCAGGCCAGGCTGCTGCACCAAGCCTAAGTGTGTGCAAAGTTGTTTCAGATACATTTTTATCCTCAAGGTCAACCAATAGAATTCACAATAGCTCCAAAAGTGAGAGCAAACTGCTCTTTCAAAGAATGCATATTAACTGTCACAAGATGTAGGGATGCAGACAAACTTTTTATCACAATTAGCCATTAGTTCTTCATGGAACTTCACATTCAGAAGCATTCAGTTGCTGAGAGAAGCGAAGAAATTAATGAGCAGGGAAGATCTTGAAGTACTTCCCAGTTATCTGTGCCAGTATCCTTGTACACGAGATGTTAGAAGAGCATTTCCTGATCTGACCAAGTGGAGCTTTTTGATCAGGCTACATGGTTGTTTTAAGATAGCTTGTGTCTGGGAACCTTTAAGTTTTTATACACCTTTAAGCCAATCCTCAGGGCTTCTGTACTCAGGATATATTAACAGAAATGGATCAGCAATGAAAAGGAAATGTGCCCACCTCAGATTAGGTGTCCAAGAACCCTTCATTCTGTTTTTGTATTTACAGATCCTTGGAGACGAGCCCCCGGATATAGTCTTTAGCAGGTGCTGCAGTGTTGTTGATGATGTGATAAAGGCAGCTGCATCAACTGCACAGCTATTTAGTTCTACAAAGAAATAAAGGTTTAAAGCTGCTGGTCCATTAAACCAGCCCTATCTCACACACGTATATCAGAGCATCAATGCTGGTTTCATACATGTATGCATGTTATTTGATGGCTTATGAGAGGGCTCACACCTCATAATGTAAATACTCATTTGTCCAAAAAGTGAGACTGATGGTGCATTTACCACTTAATGCTACACTCAAGTAGTAAACATTAGTTGAGCAGTCCTTGGCAAGAAAGGCTTGTAGGCCACAGGAAGCAGCAGGGCAAAGGGGAAAAGCAGCTCTGGGGTTTTGGGGTTTTGTCATGACACCCTTAATGGTCTTTCACCCCTCTGGAAGTCTACCTTCTCACCATGTAGCTGATGCTGCTCCTCTTCTTCATAATTGCTATAGTTGATTACTTGGCAGGCGGAAAGCCAATGAAGATGTGGGCTGGGCCATCGCCTCCTCCCCTCTCCACGGTCTGAGAGAAGTGGTTGCACAGGAATGAAGAGAAGTGGGCCCAGAGGGTCAGGTTAGTGGGCCCTCTGCTGGGGTGTGGGCTTTTGGCAGCTGGCGCACCTGTGACACTGGTCAAGAGGCCATTAGGGCAGCAGCAGCCTTGCACAAATGCAAGGAATGATCCATTTCCAGCACCGTAGCTTGTTTCTTCAACAGTGGCTACTGCTATGACCCTCTGCTTTAATGTCTTATTCATGTGGCACATTCACTCCTATTCAAAGCTGTTGCTGACAGTACAGGCCTGTGTTTGAAAAGGCTATCCCCACCCAGCTCCATCACTCCTTCAGGGACTTTCTTCTCAGGTGGCAGAGTGGAGCATCAAAACAAGCGGCCCTGGGGGTTACAAAGCAGCCAAGGGGATATAAAACTGGCAGCGAAGCAGTGACAGTCCAAAGAAAGGCATACTCCAGTTTCTGAAGGGAAATATGTGAACTCGCAATGATCTGGGGACACATGCAGGAGTATCTAACAGACTTGGTCTTTGATGGCAACCCCTCCTTAATGCACCACAGCCAAGTCCAGAAGCACCAGGTGCTCAGCCCAGCAAGATGGGGTCTTTGACAGCAAAGAACTGAGGGTGCAGGGTGTCAAGCAGCAAGCAGCATCAAAGGAAAGAATCCATTAGAGCTGCCTCCCTAAAATAGTACCCACCAGAAGTTCTAGACTTCAAGCCCCACCAGCCCCAGCCAGCACAGCCAAAAATCAGGAATGCTGGGAGTTATAGTGCTAAACATTTGGAGGTCACCATATTGGAAAAAGCTGCACTGGAGGCACTTACTCCAGTCTTGCCCCTTCGGATCATCATGGAAATATGAATAGGTGTTCCTGTGCCCAGGCTGAACACTGGAAAGGCTGGGCACCACAGGAGGACATGTTCAGCCTGCTGGACAGCACCACTAAGAGGCTGCTCTTCCCCACTCACACTCAACCTAGTGTAAGAATCTGAGTCCTTTGCCCGGAGATCCTGATGAAGCTGAAGCGGAGCCTTCTGGGGCCCTACCTTTGGAAACACACACGGTGGCATCAGAGACTTTAAAACAAAAAAGCATTTTATTCAACAAAAATGCACAAATGCCTGCTCAAACTATAAAAACACAGGAAGCTCTTAATTCATGACCATTATCAGGCTTTTACAACAGCTATATTGTGAACAAACATCAGCTTCAAAAAACCCTATGGACAGAGAGAGAGAGACAGACACCACCCGGCAGACACAGGGGGATGTTTTGTTATCATTTATTTGTGAAGTTAAAAACGAGCGGTAAAAAGTAAAAATTGAGCATACAATTGTTTGTTTGTTTCAATTTCCTCTTGAACAGACAAAAACACGACAGATCAGTCCCAGCAGTGGAGAAATGGAAGGGCAGGGAAGGGGTTGTCTGAAACACCAACACCTTTGTCCGAGGAATGTTCCAACTCTAACTAAAAAGCAGAGTGACTTTTCCTTGTAAAATTTTTGAAACAAAACAGAAAGAAAAGAGGAAGTGTTACCCTGAAAACTGAGGTGTGTGTCAGGCAGGATGGGGTCTGGCGGCGGCGGCGGTTTTAGTCGGCTATCTTCTACAGCTGCTGGCTCAACATTAGGGGTTTGGAGATCTGGATTTACTTATTTTTTTAAAGAGAGACTTGAAGGCGGCGTGGCTGAGATTCCCAGAAGAAACCCAGCAATCAGAGCAACAGGCCAGCTCCCTTCCCACCCCGTCACTTCCTGCAGCAGCCACCTCTCTTTCCAAAACAAAAAGGTTCTCAGAGATGGGGAGGTTCACATTCAACTCACTGAGCCTGTTGAAAGGGGGGGAAAAACATGATGGGAACCTGTTACTGAAACAAGAAGAGTAAAAGCAATCGCAAGGCTGTATTACCATCATCACAGGGACAGAGTCTGGTATGCTGAAATCTATTTCCACTCTCCCCTCCAAGCTTGAATTTTATTGAATTTTGTTTGATACAGCAGCATAGAATCAGTAGATAAAATAAAAATACAGCATACGGAAAAGATGACAGTAGCTGCTTAATGTGCAAGCCAGTATAAGTTTCTGGACCATTAACATCTCATAACATTTTTCTATTCCAAACCTTAAATCTCAGCAGGCTCTTATGGTTGCAGATACATTTCAACTTTGTCAGCCAGGAAACTGAAGACAAACCAGTGCTCTGCTCATCTCTATGAAACTGCCCAATCTCCACAAGGGAGATGGATGAATGCTCCGAAAAAGATCAATGTATTTTGTAGAACTTACTCCTTCTGCCAGCCCCTGACACAACGGCTTCTCTCCTTCTGGAGAATCACCATTCACTATGGGAATATGAGAAGGCCTTCACAACCTTGCACATCACACAGATCTACCATTATATTGACTGTGGTGCTAATCCAGTCTAGCTGTAGCTGAGTGCCAGCATCAGTGTAAATACACAGACCTTGGCATCAGACAGAAAATTCAATGCCCTGACAGCTTCTGGGTTCAGTTGATAAAAGAGCATTTCTCATTTATGATGGTGAAAGTAAGTTAGAAAGAAAGTTTGAAGTAGCAGGAGTAACAGTGCATTTGATCTTAAATGTAGTGGGGTGGTGGCAAGTTCCTTAGCTTTCTACCAAAGGCTGGGAACAGCAGGATTGTATTTGCTTAATGTGTAGCTTGTGCAGGCTACAGCGATGGCATTTTTAAAGCTTCATAGCTTTGGCTTTATTCCCGTCTGATATTTGAAGATAAATCCTCTGCTGTGTTTGAGAGTGTAATCTGTGCGCTCCGGCTTGCTGTTAGAATGCAGGGAAGCTGGTGCTGACCAAAGCTGCAAAGGCAGGGTCACCTGCAAGTGGAACGAAGCTCCCATCTCTCCTGTGCTCTGCACTGTTCTTTCAAACATGTAGCAACTCTACATGCCTGCTTGCTCAGAGAGCTCAATGTTCAACAACTTGTAGATAGGGCTCAAGTTTCTGTACCAATTTAGTTTTCGCAATCTCACCCTCAAAAACTGTAGCATTTTTGCATTCTGCTAGCACATTCTCAAAGCTTTGCAATTATCTTAATGAAATATAAGAACCTCTAGGCAAGCAGTTTCCAAGCCAGTATCTCTAAGCTCCAACTAACAGTCAGTTGATCTTTCTGCTCGCAACCCCTTTGGACCGCAACTGCTTGCTGAGGATGTCAATATCCCCTTATATACTGGGGTAAGCTGGCATTAAAATATACTCCAATTTTTCAACTATGGAAGAGGCTCGGCATCAAATTATCACTGTTGTGTTGTTTGGCAATGAAATCCAGGCTCTTCAGTGGACTAGGGAGCATTCAACTGCACCATCCTGCTGCGCAGAAGCATCCAGCTCATACGTTAAGCACAATTATGAGAATCCACATATGTTGGAAAAGATACACTCTTTTCGGTACCTGGCTTGGTGGTGGTGTTGTTAGTTGTGAAGTTGCGTCCAACCCATCGCGACCCCATGGACAACACGACTCCAGGCTCTCCTGTCCTCCACCATCCCCCGGAGTCCACTTAAGCTCACACCAACTGCTTCAGTGACTCCATCTAGCCACCTCATCCTCTGCCGGCCCTTTCTTCTTTTGCCGTCAATTGTTCCCAGCATTAGGCTCTTCTCCAGGGAGTCCTTCCTTCTCATTAGGTGGCCAAAGTATTTGAGTTTCATCTTCACTAACTGACCCTCTAAAGAGTAGTCAAGGTTGATCTCCTCTAGGACTGACTGGTTTGATCTCCTTGCAGTCCAAGGGACTCGCAGGAGTCTCCTCCAGCACCACAATTCAAAGGCCTCAATCCTTCGGCACTCAGCCTTCCTTATGGTCCAGCTTTCACAGCCATACATTGCAACTGGGAAAACCATAGCCTTGACTATACACACTTTTGTTGGGAGGGTGATGTCTCTGCTTTTTAGTATGCTGTCTAGATTTACCATAGCTTTCCTTCCCAGGAGCAAGCGTCTTTTAATTTCTTGGCTGCAGTCACCGTCTGCGGTGATCCTGAAGCCCAGGAAAATAAAATCCGTCACTACCTCCATTTCTTCCCCACCTATTTGCCAGAAAGTGATAGGACTGGAAGCCATGGTCTTAGTTTTCTTAATGCTGAGTGTCAAACCAACTTTTCTGCTCTCCTCTTTCACCTGCATCATGAGACTCTTAGGTCCACTTCACTTTCTGCCAGTAGAGTGGTATCATCTGCGTATCTGAGGTTGTTGATATTTCTCCCAGCAATCTTAATTCCAACTGGTGATTCATCTAGGCCCACCTTTCTCATTATGTGCTCTGCATACAAGTTAAATAGGCAGGGCGACAGTATACAGCCTTGCCAAACTCCTTTCTCAATTTTGAAACAACCAGTGCTTCCATGTCCAGTTCTCACTGGCCTTGCTTGGTATAAAACCCAGTTTGAAAGTGCTTTTGACTGAAAAAGCAGAACACAAGAAGTCCATGTTTGGAATCCCTTCTTGAAGGGGAACAGATATTGTATTGCTAATTACAGAACAGAAAGCCCTTAAGATTTGCAGAGACCTCCTCCTTGGGTGATGTTTGCAACTGTTCTCTGCTAGAAAACTCGCAGGGTGGCCTCCTCTGGCAGTTGTTTTATTCCACGGACAACTGAGGCAAGCTCATTTGGAATTTAGCCCCAACCCCTCAGCTGGAGCTGATGATGCTCCAGAGGCAGACTTACTGCTTGTGCCTAGGCTGAAACCAATCTGAATTCCACCTGCCCCAGACTTAAGAAGAACACGAACTACTCCAAAGCCACTGGGCTAAACTCCAAAAGGAAAACAAGTTCAGCAAAGAAGCCTGATAGCAACTGTGGACCACACCACACCTCTAGTTTTCAGTAGGGGTGGCTCTATATATCCCAACTACAGGTACCTGTTGCAAAGCAGAAAGAGCACATTGGCTCTATGTCCTGCAACTCACCTGCTGTCCCTGCTGTGTTGGTGGTGGCACTGGACCACCGGCGCCAGGCGTCTGTCCATAGTAGGCAGCTTGTTGTCTGTAGTATTCTGCCCAGGCTGCACTGTAGTCTGGCTGAGGTCCTGGTGGTGCTGCTGGCCCTGCCCCAGTAGCTACTTGAGCTGCTTCCAAAAAGAAAAGGGGGGATGGCAATGCAGTCCTGTGCATGCCTTCTCAGAAGCAAATCCCACTGAGCTCAAGGAGACTTGCTCCTCCCAGGTAAGTGTGTACAGGACAGCATACAAGGGATGCACTCCATACGCCGTCTGCTGAAGTGCTGCAGCCAAGGTCCTCAAGGCAACTCACACCCTGAAACTCACCTTGCTTCTTATAATACTCTTCCCAGGCTTTTGTGTAGTCCTGCTGTGGTGGAGCTCCAGGCTGCTGGGGCTGCTGGCCTGTAAGCCGTGTAAAGGAGAAAAGGACTCTGGTCACACAACGCTTTCAGCTACCCATAACTCATCTCACCTATACGTTCTAAAAGGACGGTTCTTAAGCAGAGACTGGGTAGCTCGCCACAAGCTGGGATCAGCAGAACCAACAGAGGAGGGGCAAGATCTTGGCTGACATCACACTGAACTACAGAGGAGCCTGAAGCCTCCCAGAGAGCCTGTCAGGCTTTCTGGAGAGGCTTAAGGGGATGTCGATCATAGCAAGTACATGTCCAGATCCACAACTACAAGTCACTGCATTTAGGCCAACTCAATGGGGACAGGAAATGAGGGTGTCCAATAGGGAATGCGAGTCACCCACCAAACTCTAGAAGCAGACATTTTCTCACTATAGACAAGATCTTTAAATCAGAATACTCCTGAGCCAGACTGTGACGTGGTTCTTAGTCTCTGAATGACTTTTGCTTTTGTTTCCTTGCAGCTGATTTAGGAGAGACAAAGCTAAACAGCAACAGGAAATATTCTTCATTGGGAACCATGACAAAGAGACAAGATTGCACTGAAAGGAGCTGACCATGTTTGTACATAAAACAAAGCAAGCTGTCCGGCCCAGAAGGAAAAGAAAATCCAAACCAAGCAATAATTTGATTTAAACCATATTATATGGTTTGGTTTATCTAACCAAAGTGTAGGTCACCAACATTTGCTTGTTCGTACTCAGAATCATGACACTGAGCACCAGTTGACAGAATGTGGGCTGGTTTGAGAGAGTAACATTACTAGCACTCAAATTAAGCTTGGAACTCATATTTGGATTTGAGTCAGCCTTCCTCAGGGCTACTCTTCCTCTTGAGAAGTGTTCCCAGAGCAGATGCAGAGGTAGCTCAGTTAGGAAGAGAAAAAAATCCCAAAGCATTTCAAGGCAGCACATCATTTCTTTATCAAAGGGCATCAGAGAGAAAGCTGGTCAGTTGAGCTTCTTCATCAAGGAGCTGTCTGTAACCCTTTTAATGATACCATCACATGTTTCCACCAGCAAAATGTGGAGAATCTCTATCATCAGTTACCTAGCTTCTTGTAATACTCCTCCCACGCTTTCGTGTAATCTGACTGTCCTGTGGGGGGTGGCTGAGGTGGCTCTCCTTGCACCGGTGGCGCTGTGGGGGCAGGTGGTGCTCCTGGAACTGGGCCAGGGGGCTGCTGGTAGTAGTGCGAGTAATATGCTGCCCAGGCTGCATTGGGGTCTGCAGCAGCAGCAGCTTTGCCTGGGAAGGAAAGAACACAGAAAGTTGAATGCTGCCAGCCCCTCTCCTCCTCCTCTAGGTCTGAACACAGGAACAGCTGTGCTTGGCCAGATCAAGGATCCATCTAGTCCAGCAGGCTGTTCACACAGTGGCCCAAAAGCTGCCCACAGGATCCCACAAGCAGGACACAAATGCAGCAACACACTTGTGCTCAAGCCTCCAGGCAACTGATGTCCACGGGCTCACTGCTTCCGACACCAGAGGAGCCATCAGGACTAGAAGCCATTGGTAGCCCTCAGCTCCAAGAATGTCTCCAACCCCATTTTAGAACTGTCCAGAAAGTTGACCATCACTGCATCTTGTGGAAAGGAATTCCATAGTTTGACTACGTACTGTACTTCCACTCTTATCTGTCCCTGAATTTCATACAAACCAACTTCATGGGACAACCCTGGGTTCTAGCATCACAGGAGACAGAAACATTGTCTTCCTGCCTACTTTCTCCATACCATGAGTAATTCTGAACACCTCTTTATCATGCCTCTTCTTACTCACTTTGAGATTAGAACCCAGATCTGAGTCCACTTAACCATGACACCATGCTGGCTCTCATATTCTAAGTACAGGCACACTACAGATGTGTATAAGAGCAGCATGACATTGGCAGCTTTATTTTCAATTCTCTTTCTAACTACACCTAACACTGAGCTGACCTTTTTCACAGCAGCCATGCACTGAGTCAATACTTTCATTAAGCTGTCAACTACAACCCCAAGATCCCTTTCATGGTCAGTGAGGAGTAGCTCGGATTCTATCAGCTTATACATGAAGCTGGGATTTTTGCATTACTTTACACTTGCTCACATTGAACCACATTTGCCATTTTGACATCCATTCTCCCAGTTGGAGAGATGCCTCTAGAATGCCTCACAATTCCTTTTGGTTTTAGCCACCCTAAATAGTTTCATGTGATCAAACAAACTGGGCCACTTCACTGCTTACTCCTAATACCAGATTGTTTCTGAATATGTTGGAAGCATAGGTCCTAATAGAGATCCCAATGGAACTCCCACTGGTTACATCCATACAGTGGAAGAATTCTCCCATTTCTTCCTATTCTCTGCTTTCGATCTGTAAAAGAACCTCTCCTCTTATTCTGTGACTGCTAAGACTGCTCAGGAATCCTTGGTAGGGGACTTTCTCAAAAGACTTTTTGAAATCCAAATGGACAATGTCTACCCAATTGGGAGTAACAGGTGGCCAGGGGCAAAGAACCCTAAAAGGTTATTGAGACAGTACCTACCTTTGTGGAAATCATGTGGCTTCTTTTGAAGCAGGGCTTTCCTTCTATAATTCAAATTTTATTAATGCTTTCAAGGAATGTACTTGGGACTGGCATTAGGCTAATTAGCCGATAATCTCCCAGATGCCTTATAAAAAATTGGTGTTACACTGGCCATTCTCCATTCATTTGGTATAGAGGCTGATCTTAGGGATATGTTACATATTTTTGTAAGATCAGCAATTTCATATATGAGTTATTTAAGAATTCCAGGATGGGCAGCATTTGGGCTCAGTGATTTATTCATTTTCAGCTTGGCAAGAATATTGAGAATGTCATCTTTTGTTAGCACTATCTGCCTTAGTTCCTCAGACTCCCTAAGTTTGGGAACAGATATCTGTCCTGTACCCTCTGCTGTGAAGACAAATGAAAAGCATCCATCCAGCTTCTCTGAAATATCTCCATCTTCCTTCAACTCCACTGTGAATCCCAAAAGTGCAATGACATGTAAACAATGCTGAAGGTCAGCCACAGATCTGATACATACTTACTTGGGTCATGAGGAGCAGGAGGCTGCCACTGTGGGTAGGCATTGCCCCAGCCTTGGGGTGGGTACTGTGGAGGTGGTGGCCCCCCGGGACTGAAAGGAGGAGGAAAAGGTCACTGGCAGTATTTATGTGAGCAAAGTTGGGACCAGCTGGTCCTCTAGGACCAGGGCTGAAGTTATGTGACCTGCCAAATGCTAATCAAATTGCATCTGAAGTTTCCCCTTGCACTGCCCCCCACCACAACTAGTAAGGAACCGCAGGCCCATCTCTAGGGTTAACAAGTAGCAATGGAGGATACACCTACCTAAGGCCAGCTCTGACATCAAGAAGAGCTGAGGTGAGCAAAAGGAAGCTGCTGCTAAGCTTCATTAAAGCAGAATTTGCCAATGGAAACAAATAGTCTATGCTAACTCCCCAAAACACAAGTTAAGCCTGTGTTTCATAAGTTAGCATTTGGGATTATAACTTTTACTCCCAGAACAGTAATAACACAACACAGCAAAGCCATCTAATATAACAGTTGCCTTTAAGTTCCCGTAAGTGCACATCAGATGCCCTGATCTGCACCCTTCCAAATTCTGATATGTTTGTAAAAGCTGCCTTAAGGGCAAACATTTTGGCTCCTGTTCACACAGTTCTTGAATGATCTGCAAAATGGGGGAAGGCCTTTCCATGGCAGCTAAAGATTTTGCAAAACAGGGCCTTCTGTTTCATCTGGGTACTACACCCAAGCCTTTTGGAACATGGTGCATTTCAGCATACAGTGGGATCTCCCCAGGCATGCAAAGCTGACATTTTATTTCTCAAAGGAAAAGGCCAAAGGCGAAGGCACACAGGAGCAGCCTTGGTACTTACTGAGGGGGTGCACTGGGAGGGCCTTGATTGAAAGGCCCTGGGTTGAAGGGACCCATTGGTGCCGGTCCAGGAGGCCCGCCAGGCCCAGGTCCTGGTCCAATTGGGCAGAGAGGACCCTAAGGAAGAAAAAAGTCCCTCTTGAGTGAGAACTGCCACATCCAGAACATGGACACTGACACTCCAGGCTCGCTTCCCCCTCTGGGAGGCCTGCTATGCAGTAAAGAGCAGGTAACTACCTCAATCTTCTCCTCAATGAGCTGCTTGGCATGATCGATCTGCTGTGGTGAGCCACGAATGATGAAGAGTTTGAAGTTGGGGTCTCCATTGGGCGGTAGCTGCCGAGATATTTCTACAAAGGCCCCTGTCTGCTGATTTATGGCCTTTACGTTTTCCCCACCTGAAAGAGAACAGGAAGGTACCAATGCCAGGGACTGGCTCCATGCTTGCTCAAGACAACAGGGGCTAAGCTGCAGAGCATGGGATGCAAACTCACCTCTTCCAATAACCAGCCCACATTTGTGAGTGGGGATCGAGAAGGTCATCTCTCCTCCAGGAGGCCCCCAATTACCCTGCCCTCTGCCTCTACCTCTGCCTCCCGGAGGCATGCCCGAGCCGGGTGGACCTGGTGGGCCACTCTGCAAGACAGGAACACCATTAACTTGTGTGGAAAAGGGAAAATGGAATCAAGCCTTGAGGCAGCCTGTGATCATTACATGTACATTCACACACTCTCACACACTGGTATTACAGGTCCTCAAAGGTAATGCACTCTCAATCTGCCCATGCTTTCTTGGATACTGCAGAAGGCGTTCCTGAGAACAGATCCTAAAGATGGCTTGCCCACCACTGTTGCGATTCCCTTGTAATGTCAATGTTCAACTGTCAAGAAGGGTCATGTCTGTCCTAAAGTATGCTTTCAACCCCAAGGGGGACCAAGGAGAACATCTAAGGAGTTTGACCACCAGAAACCATCACTTGCCAAGATTCTGCAAGACAAGTAAACAATGGTTCCCCTGAAGGTACAGTGTCCGCAAATCTGCTGCAGAGGAAAGGGCATCTTTCTTTAGTGTATTTGCATCCTACTTTCAAGGAACTCAAGGTAGCTTATCCTCACAACATCCTCATGAGGTACATGAGATTGAGAGAGAGTGACTAGAACCTGGATCTCCTGGCTCCCAGGCCAGCACCCTAACAACTATACTACGCTGGCTCTTCTCAGGTAAATCAAGAGAGGTATCTCATGGATAAAACAGAACTGAAAACATATTTAAACAACTTGGTTGAATTATTCAGTGCAGTTTTTATGTGTACACTATGAGAAGCAGAGCATTCATACCCGGAGACTCTGGAGAAGGTCATTGATAATCCTGGCAGCATGTTCACATCTGTCAGGGGGACCCATGATATGGGCAATTTTCTCAGGACCCGTCCCGTCATCTGAAATAGGAACCGTAACAGGAAGGTTCACCAAATTCTGCCTTCACATTAGCATTCTAGAGCTTGAGCCACTGAGTACAGCAATCAGCAACAACCTGCAAGCAGTAGCTCTCACAAAAGCCAACACATTCATTCAACCTCCTCAATGACTTTTCCCTCCAACTGAAATAAAGCACTCCAATTCCATGGGAGGAGAATGTAACACAGACAAGCAAGCAACAGAGACATCATGCACACGTGTGCACACAGACACACAGCACTGGTACAGCAAACTAGGCCAAGATACAGATTTGAACACAGCAACCAACCCATTAAGATTTTGGTTATGCAAAGCGTCTAGGATCTCTAGGAAAAGTCTTGCTGCCTGACTATTAGCTCTAGAGGAAATAATTCCACGTGAACATGGGAAAAAAAGCTAAGAGAAATAGTTAACAAACATGGTAGTAAGGTCAAGCAAATAGGTGGAAGAAAAGCCACACAAATATTTGATAGGTCCAATGTTTCATCATGCAACATGAAAACAGATTACATGGAGGAAGGTGAGGCAAGGTGCAGTGACATGAGATCGGGGCATCTGACCTTGCTTGAACTGTATCCGAACCCCAGCATCGTTTTGTATTTTCTTAATCATCTCGCCGCTACGTCCAATGACTACACCAACAGAGTGCCTGGGCACAGGAACCTGAACAAGTGTGAAGACAACAATATAATAGTTAAGAACATTCAAATTTCCAAGCAATGCTGCCCACATCCCTTGTTTCCAGGAATGAATATTTAGGCATTTCTGGGACATGGAAGGAAAAGGATAATGGCCCAATGAACTACCTTTCACTGTGCCACAGCTAACCCAAAGCAATGCCCTTACATCAATTCCTCCGCCAATCCTGGAACCGTACTCATTTCGGTCACCAAATCCTCCCTGGTCCCGTTCTCTTAAAATGTCCATTACCATTTCACAAGCTTGCTGCAAAGAAAGATAAACATAAATTTTGGAATGATTTGGTCATCTTTCAGAATGATTGCTCTCAAAGTAGGCAAAGCACGTAACACTTCCACTGAAAAAGCACTTGTTGTTACACTGAGTATTCAAGAACCCATGGAAAAAGAAAGAAAATTCAGTATCACCTCCACAGTACAGTAAAAAACCAAACCAAACCAAACCAAACCAAACCAAACCAAACCAAACCAAACCAAACCCAGGGAAACTTTTGCATGGCTCAACCTGGTATGAAATAGAGGAGCAAAGATCACAGAAAGGGCATAATAGAGAGCAAGGGCTGAAAAATATGATAAAGCTGTGGAAAGCTTTGTACAGCTTTGTAAAGTCACAAACATTTCAGATGGATGTGGAAAGGGATGGTGCCACAGTGCATTTTGTTGCAAGTGGAAGGTCCCACAGTCAACCCTTAGCTTCTTCACTGAAAAGAATCACAGGTAGCAAGGGAAGTCCTCTGATGACTCTCATGGGAAAAGACAGCACTGGATTAGGTGGACCAATAGTATTATTCTGTATAAAACCGTAGGATGAGTGGAAGGAATTCAAGGTGGGTGCCACATGGGATGGAAGGCAAGAAAGCCACAGTGTTCTGGATAGCAGTGGGAAGGCAAAAGTGTGACAAGGTCACGGGGCAGACTGCAATTGTCAGGGAATGAGACTGCTAGAGAATGAAGCAAAGCATTAACTGTCTGAGGGTGGAGCGATGTTCACAATGTTGTGCAGCAGGGTATGGCACATCACAGGCCAAAAAAAAAGGTTCTGTCAATCATTTGACATGGTGTCTAATGAGAGTCAAGTACAACAGGTCTCATAAGAGAAGCTTTCTAATAGCCCTAATTTGCTCCTGATTATTTCCAGCGCCAGAGGGCATACTGCCTTCATTTCTGCTCTTGCACACAAAAGGAACACAACTGTCAAAAGATATGATGCCACCTCAGAAAGCTAATCTAATCTGGATGTATGCATCTTGGTTTATCGAACTAATACATGAACCTTATGGCTGCACACTGTCCTTCCACAACTGCTTTCCTCCTTGGTGCACCATGGTGCACCATGCTCTCTAGTTTAAATAACCAACATTGCTTGTCATGCTCAAATTGGAAAATCATTGAGACCGTGAAGATAATGGGTGGCTCTCAAACAAATTCAATAAAATGAATAATTGCCTAGTTTGAATACAACAGAAACTATGCTTAATTAATCCATGAAGCTTTGAGTTGCAGCATAACAAGGGTGAAGTGAAGGAGGGGGGTTATGATGGGAGTACACAGGCTCAGGGCACGCATGTAGCTTGGCTTATGCAAGTGCCATTCTTGGCATCATGGATATTATTTTATTGTGCAAATTGCCCAGTGTGTCAATCCTATTGTATGAGCAACTGATATCATTTGGCAATAGATTGATTATGGGCAAACAAAAGGGCCAAATCTTTGTGTCTGAATGGCAATGGTTACAAAGAATATAAATTCTAGGAGGAAAACTGAAGATCACTCTCGCACAATTTAGCAGGGAGACTTTTGAAAATGCCATGTCAGCTAAAAGGAATTGTGTTTAATAAGACATTATACAGACAAGGTTGACTTAACGGAGCTGTAAGGAAGACATACCTAGCTCACCTACCACCACACTTACCTGCTGACACCTCAGATAGCCAGAGGATCTGAACATCTATTTCACACATTGCTGGTACTTTGGAACATATGCAGGCATCTTGATGCAAGATCTCCCCTCCCAAAAAAACCCCATGAACTACCACAGGAGAGTAACTATTCAGTCAAAACACACATAACACACCAGGAGCTGAAGAGAGGCAGCCATGCTCTTACTTCAGCTCTGATGCCCTCTGACTGATGCTAGAACTGCCACTGAATCCCAGTCCTCAAAAGGACAGGAGTTATTCCTCCACCCACCCAAACTCAAGAGTTTGAAGAACCCAGCTAAGCAACTAGACAGCCTTACACAGAAACAAAGCGAGTCAGAAGGGGCCTCCTGGGCCATCTAGTCTGACCCCCGGCTCCACTCATATGCCCACCATGTGCATGTCCAGCCTATCTTACCTGTACTTTGTAAGGGTCACCAATTATTCGAAGAGGTTTATCTACATTCGTATTTTGTGAACCATCTTGAATTAAAATCATTTTCACTCCAGCGCGCTCCTGTGTCAAGGCAAAGGGAGAAAAGAATCAAATGGGTTGTGCAACTGGCCAGGGTTCCTGCAGCCCCTTCCCTTCTTAACAATCAAAATCAACTTGAACTTCAGGAATGCCCAGTCACAGAATCCATGGGCAGATCAGGATCATCCTTGCCCCAAGAGACCTGAGAAACCAGTAGTGCTAAGAAAGGGGCCAATAAATGTCAATAAGCACCAGCCCTGGTGCAAGGAATGTGGCTAGGAGTAGAGCACAGCCCCTTACCTGCAACTGCTTAATGGTCTCCCCTCCCTTGCCAATCACTAGCCCTGCTTTCCCAGCTGGGATCATGATTTCCTGTACTGTGCCGTTCTGCCCGTTGGCATTATCGTGGAACTGACCCGGTGGCCCACCACGTCCTCGAGACACGATGTCATCAAGCATCATTTTTGCCTTTCTGTGAAGAGGTGGAAACACAAGCAGCGTGATGGCAAATGACTGGAATTTCAGCCTCTATTCTTCCATTTTGAATGAACCAGCATCTGTAGTGGGGCAGCACAGGGCAGGCAGACTGAGGGCCTTGCCTTCCATGCCTGTTTTATGTTCTGCAATTGTGGGACTTAGAAGAGAAATCCTATTTGTTCTGAGATGCCGTAACTTCAATACCGAGTCAGGAGTTCAGCCCCACCCTGTTCATCAGGCCAACCAGAGATTTACCAGGGGCTGAAGTGCTCTGGTAGTCCAACAGGCAGTGGCTATTTGGGGCTTTATAGTGTACAGCAAGTGCTGATTTTGTTCTGAATGTTAAATACCTACCTCACCTTGCAGCCCCCAAGCCAGCTTCCAGAATAAAAATGATATGGAAAAACAAATCTACCAATTGAATCATTAAAGTTGCAGCAAAAGGGAGAGGGGCTGGATTAGTTTAAGAATGCACTGCCACAGCTGTAGGTGAATACATTTTAAGGGCATGGTAGTAGGAGGAGGCCTTTGCCACCCTCCTAATGTTGAGTGGGGATCCACCAAAACTAAAGCTCTTTCAGGAGCAAATTCTACAATCTGGATATGGCTACTGTGGAGGTCAGATTGTTCTCCTGACTGTGCTGGTCTCATGGTGGAAACTACAATGGCCAAAGTGTCACTGTTGCTTTAGGCCTGTAGTCTTTAGTCTATACGATCATCACCAGCTTTCTTTTACTGGCTCTCAGCATTTATCCATGAGTCTCTGCACGAGTGAAGCCTTGCTTCTCTGTCACAGCCCTGCACCATGCTCCCTGGCAGCTGGCTTCTAGCGAAACACCCTGTCCTCTGACACCTATCCTCTTTTATCTTCTTGAAACAGCAGCCTGACAAAGGGAAAGAGGCTACTCACTGCACAGATTCTGGTGATCCTGTGAGAGACACACTCCGTTCTGGCAGCCCTCCACTGTCTGCAAGAGAACAGAAGGCCCATCAGGAGATAAAATTACTAAACTGCTCTCCATATAAACACCTCTGCGCAGAGTGTCTGACCATTCTTCCAACCATGTATCGTCTGCAAGGTCTGAAGGAGCTGGCATAGCTGAAAGGCAGGCTCTTCAAGCAATTACACAATGTCAAGTGGTCTTCCCCAGTGTGATGCCTCCTAACATTTCAGATTACAACTCCCAGGAGCCCAAGCCAAAATGGTGCAAAATGTACAGAAGATATCACAGTGGGAAGGCCCAGTGGGATGAAGTCCAGAAACTTTAAGTAAACTACAAAGGGCAGCTTGCACTTCTTCTAAGGTGACTGTTGTGGATGGGCAGTATGGTGGTTACAGCATGCAGCACACAGAATGAAAGTATGGCACCATCTGCAAACTAAGCAGCTGGGCCTGGGCACACGGTTATTTAGGTTAGACCCCACTCCATCAATACAAACTAGCCACAAGCCAGGAATGAGCCTTCACTTTGTAAGACCACCATATTCCTGCTCCCAACACAAAAAGAAGTCCCCTTTTTAATGACTCAGTGAAGTATATTAGCATGCCCAGAACAGGCCATCTATAATGGGCTGCTAAAAGCAACATACTATTTCATCCCTCTCAACAATACTGCTTTGCCACAATTATGTCACTACAGCTACTCACCTCTCTAATTAAAGGGCTGGGAAGGACCAGTGGACATCAGCAGCTCCACACTTTGAAAGTTGAAGCTAATTCCACCTCACACCTACCTGGTGAGATTTGTACTTTGCATCCAGAGTCCTGCTGTATTTTGTTGATCTGCTCCCCACCTCTTCCTATGACTGCAAAGTAAGGAAAGGGGCACTAAAAACCTTGATCTCAAGATAAAAATGGAGATGTTATTCTCTTACAGGAAAGCTTAAAGATGAGACTTTTCCTTTCCTCCCCAAGTGAGAGATGGGAAAGAGCCTTCTGATTTACTGGAGCCACAAAAGGAACAATGAGGCCCAGTCTGACTACAAATAACTCTTTGGCACAAGATATTCTGTCAGGTGGGCTGACAATAAATCCCAACATGAGAGAAGTGTATGTAGACAGAGCAGAGGATGGTAGATGAGTAGGCCCATAATCCAAAATTGTCACAGTTTATACAGTATTGCAGGAAGAAATGTACGATGGATGTGCCCCTCCTGAATTTGCAATTCAACCAACAGGAAACAAAATACTTAAGGTCCTCAGTCTAAAGAATTGAGAAAACCTAAAAGAGCCAGCGATGTCAGAGAGGTACCTCAGCACCCATGTTTCAACCAACTTCTTTTCTAGCTTTCAGAGCTTGAATGCCAAGCCAATTTAAAACCAGGGCGTGTAAACACAAGGCCTCCTGGGAACCAACACTCTCCTGCTTAGTTAAAACTCTGCTTCAGGCAGTGTTTTGCAGCCACCATTCCTTCTGGCAAAGGCCTACTCACAGAAAGTTGATGCATCCAAAGCAAAGGCTGTAAGCAATCCAAAAAGGAACTCTGAACCCCTGCAGCACTCCAAGCCTGAGCCTCTGAAGTATCCAGAGTGAATCTGTGCTGCTCCTGCTCAAATCCCAAAAGTGCTGCTATGCATGGGAAATGCTCGCATGACACCCGCCTCAAATTGTCCCTAGCAACCAGCCCCTACCATTTAATAAATGGAAACTCAGCCTGAGCACTTTACAGAGCAGAACACCCACCCCACCTCTCTGGGGCTACGGACCACACAGCGGGGAAACTCAAATGCTCATCAGCTCTCAGAACACACGCAAAAGGGGTCACAAACAAACCAACCTGCCTGAGCCTTCCCTGCTGGAAGCTCAGCCAACAGGCATCGAAAAGTCAGAAAGGCACTGGTTAGTAAAGATAAAGTGAAGTCTGTCAACTATGGCAACAGCAGGTTTCTCCCCTCCCTGTCTAATACTCACTGAGTCCCACCATGCCATCAGGTACTCTGTACTCTTCAGTCACTGTAGACCTGCAAGGAAAACGGTCAGCAGCTTAAAGTAAGGAGTGGGAGGGTTACAGAAATGGACCTGGCATGCACCAGCGTCCATCAAGAAACAAAAAATTGAGAGGTTTCTTCCTCCTGAAAGTGCAGACAGGAAGGTGGCTGAGCAATTAAGCACTGCTCTGAGGAAATCACCATGTGCCAGTGCAAGATGCACCAGTGTAACCTGGCAGGACCCATGGCCAACTAAGTGGCCCAGAGGCCACTACAGCCACATTGCACACTAGGCTCCTCAGACACAGGTTTCAGAAACTAAAGCTATGAAACAGAAGCTACACAAGAACTGGAAGTACCTCAAGTAATGGCCAAGCAGCACAACCCTTCTCTATCTAACAAGGCACATGAGTGCCTGGTCTTCCAACAGCAAGCCTTGCACAAATCAGGATGATGACTGCACCTAACAAAAGCAGACTTTTTTCCTTTGGGGGCACTGAAATGCTGCCACCTTGCAGGCAAACTGAATTCACAAGCATGACACTTAGCACTTATTAGACCATTCCAGCTCAAGCACATGGGAAGGGCAAAGAAGGGACACAACTAATTTACCTGGGGGCAGGATGGATCGGTCCAAGTTGAGGGGGAGGTGGCATGGCTGCAAGACAAAGCAAAGGTCCAGTTATGAATTCACATTGTAGAAGATAAGCCATTAATCCATCATTGGCTACCCTGTCTTTTTTTTTAATAGACTCTGGTAAGTTAAAAACATAATGCTCACCTACCAAAATCCTACACAGACTCTCAAAAAAGTTAATTTACATCTTCTCCCATTTTTCTGAATCAATGTGAAAATGAAGTGAAGATTGGGTGTAGTCAATGCACAATTTTACTAAACTCTTTAAAAATAAATAGAACTTACGTTCTGGCTGAGGAGCCATTTTCTTGCTCTCTGGCTGGTCTGTTAAAACAAGAAGAAAGAAGTACATCCAAAACTTCTTCAAAAATTAAAGGAGAGCCTCCCCTCCTCTCTATTATGCAAAACCAATCCCCAAGACTGCACCTACAGGTCAGAGTCATTCTGGAAATTTTAGGAATGATGATGTAAATTGCTGCATTCCCATTAGTTGACTGGCAATTGGTGCATGCACCAGTTTTGTGTTGCCTCGATTCATTTCAATGAGGCCGATCTGGAACTATTATGAAAACCCCATCACGGTCTCTTTCCATGAGTAATACTAAGCCAGTTTCACAAACTTTCTTAGGTCTTATGTGTTCTGTTTATCAATCCAGAGCATACTTCTATGTGAACATTATTTTCCAACACCGCTTATCCTGTACCATTAGGCCAGTCACACAGTACCTCCATCCTCTAGCTGTCTCTTTTGACCACCAAATCCAAAGTCTGGAGTAGTGTTATTCACTGTTGTAGCTGAGTCTCCCCCAATTTTAGCTGCTATCTGAAAGCAAAATTGACACCACAGTTACTAAAAGAAAAAGTTGTTTGAAAATCACATGCAAAGAACTAGGAGCAAATGGCTTAAATCACAGGTGCTTCAAGCCCTAGGTGCACGTCATTAATCTAAGAGTAGCACACATATCTATCTGAAATCACAAAACATTGCTACTGCCATTCAAGCTCTCATTACCTTCTATTCTGACTCCTGCAACATGTCTCTATGGGGCTGCCCTTAAGAAGTATGTTTTCAGAAACTTAACCTGGCAGCAGCATTTTCCACTAGTTCACTGACTGATACTACACCAGTTGACTTTCCTGAACTTAAAGGGACTTTTTATTTTTAAAGCCTTCAATAGTTTGGAAACTGGGTATCTCAAAGGCTGTGTTTTTCTGTCCACACCCCACGAATGCTCCTTTAACATTTGCAGTCTTGCGCTTTGTATGATTGCCCAATCAAGGTTGACAGGCATCTGTTAGGAACAGTGTCTTTTCAGGGATGGTGTCAGCTCCGTTGGTGTCCGGTGAAAAATTGACTTGGCCTGTGGGCAACTTTGCCTTGCTCTCCCAGTCTCAAGCTGCAGTGACATCACTTAGTGTGACTTCCTGATACGTGCTGTTGCCTTGGATTTTTTTTTTTTTTTTGTGGACTGCTGTTTTTTTTTAGGTGCTGATTTTCTAAAGAGGAGTTCATAATGTTTTGATAATTCCATCTTGTAAGGTGTTTTCAGTTCATTTTAGGACCAATGGGGCACTGCAACAGAACATTACAACGTAGACCGCTTCTCTTCAGGTTTCAAGACAGGGCATCCGATATTTCCTTCCTGGTTTTCCTCCACCCTCATAGATGATCATCTGTCCAAGTCTATTGAACATGCTCATTCTGTATTGGGCTGTTTTGGCCATTCCCCTTCCATTTTGATTTTGGAGGAGTGGAGATGCTTGCACTTAATTCCAACTACATTAAACTCTTATTCCACCGCTGATGTCTACAGGCAGCTCTCAGTTCCATTCCTGGGGGGATATTTTAAAATAACTTCCCAGTTTTAACCTGGAAATGACTTATTCGGACAACAAAGTGGTGCTTTCCATGCTTTTTATAGCTGTATTTCTCCTTCCCACACCCTCTTTCCAGCTACACCACACCATTTCCCCCCTCACTTAGATGTAAGGTATTTTCCTCAGTCACTTGGTGCCACTAATGGAGCTGTGGGAAAAGTTTCCTTCAAGTATCTGCAAACCTCAGGGTTATTCCAAGCATGCTGACACCCCTCACACATGGCTCTGTGTTGCTGTTTTAGTAACTTAAGAACAGAAAGTAGGAAAGGCAAACAAGGATAGATATAATTAATAAAGTACATAAGCCCCCCCCACCCCCGCATAGCTCCCTGGACTGAATTTCATCCCTCTTGCTTTCAAGGGCCCTCAGATCTTTAAGGAGGCAGTTTAAAGCTGTGGACTAAGGGCTACTTGGCAAAGATGTTGACGATAATGAATTAGTTCCTAACTTTACTCAAAGAATGCTATTACCTAGAACTTCAGTGCTGTTACTGCCACATCTACATTTTCCTTCAAAAATGGATTATTTCCCCACAACCCAAAGGAAGCTTCTTTTATGGCAACTGTACTTAGCATATGGCTTCACCATAGGGTTAATGTATGTTTTGCCAAAACAAATAAAGCAGCCGCCTTCCCATTTTTAACCTGGCCTATAAATAAAAACCATTTCAGAGAGAAGTCTAAACTAAAGGAATTTAAGCCATTAGATACTGTTCTACTCCTGCATATAAAGATATATCAACATTTTTCAAGTAAAGGAACACCTTGTCCCTAATGACTTTCAGTTCCATCTAGATCTCTATAAAACACCTACTAATCATGAAGATCCTTAAGCTCTGTCAGTATAATTGTATTTAGAGCACCCACTCCTTTAACAGTAAGGTCATTTCAACAGGGCAGTTTCTTCTGCATTTGTACTAGAGTCACATGACAAGACAAACCTGCTGAAATTCCAGAGGATCACAAAAAAAGAGCACATGGAGGGACCTGAGAGAATGGATTAACTAAATACAGTGGTACCTCAGCTCACGAATGCCTCAGTTCACAACCAAATCGGGTCATGAACAGAAATTTCAGAAAAATTTTGCCTCCGGTCGCAAACTTTGCATTGGGCGTGATCGTGGTTGTGCTAGGAGGGGAGATGGCCACGCTCATGCTGGGCAGGGGAGGGAGATGGCTGCAATCGTGCCCGTCTTCCCTGCCCGAGCGCAACCGTGATTGGGCCCGTCTATGGCCACGATCACGGTTGTACTTGTGCAGGGAAGACGGGCATGATCGTGGTTGTGCTAGGGTGTGGGGGGGAGATGGTCACGATATTTGCTGTTCTTTGTCACTCTGCTTCAATTTTTCTGAATAAAAAAAATAGTTACAGAACAGAATAACCTTATTTACATTGAACCTTATGGAGAAATTTGACTTGGCTCACGACCAATTTGGGTCACAAGCAGAGTTGTGGAATGGGTTAAATTTGTGAGCCAAGGTACCACTGTAAATGGAGGCAGCAGAATGAAAACATTTGAAGTCAATACACATTAAACAGAATGGGTTGTGTACAGAGCTGTGAAGCCCTGAGGAAAACTTAAATGTTGAATAATATTGGATTATTAATCATTTTCTCTTAGGTTGGCGAATATATTACTTTCAGGAATTATCCTATGGCCCCTGGAAGGAGTCTGAAGGGCCACAGAACCTTCCTAAACCTGAGGCTGTGAACTGTGTTCTGACTTCAGAATAAACACACCGATTCCTCTTTTCTAACTCCTCTCAGTCAGTGCAGAAAGAATCACAGCAGCTATCCTCCAAGATCAGGAAATCTTTTTAATGTGCAATACAAAGAAATCCCAAATTACACAATTAAACAAGAAAAAAGAAAGAAAAATAAAGCTTTGAAACATTAACATTTCTGAATAAAATGTAAAAAGATCTATAGCACTAATCACATATTACATATCCATAGATGCTGGTATATAACAGAATACCCTTCAGTTATTAAACCTGATTAAGTATAGACTTCAACAAAGGCATATCAAATATTCATATATTTATCTATTTGTAGATTATACCTTAAGGTCACCTATGCAAAAATTTAAAGTCCCATTAAATTATCCACTTATTATGTTATTGCAGGTCTGCAGTCTATCTTTCCAGTAGTTTAATATTAGTATTTTTACTGTCAAAAGGGTGAGAAAAGTCCACTTAAATTGCTTTGCACATTTAAAACAAACAAACCCACAGATGTATCCTTGAATATTAAAGAACTTTCCATCACAAGATTTATCTGAATTATTACTTCCTTCCAAAAGGAAGCGGACATTGGGCATTGCCAAAACATACAAAGAAGAGAAGTGTTAGTAGCACTGGACCTCCAACAATTGGCTGATTTGATTAAGCCCTTAATTTAAGTGATCTCAGCTAGGGGTAGAATGGGTTTGGGAGGAAACTGGAATGGTCAAGATATGAGGTCTCTTAAAGGTGCTTCACTCCCACTCTAGGTTGCTCTAGTTAGCCAGACAAAATGGCCGCAGGCTGGGAAGGCAAGGAGATAAAAATCACCTCTACTACTTCTTCAGCTCTCTATTGGATGTCCAGAAGCCTCTGAGTTGGTGGCTCATGAGCATCCCAACAGGACTGCACACTGTGTCATAGGGTCCTTATACTAACTGCTCCTAAATGATTTCTTAAAACTTTGTAGTAGGAAAATTTATGCAATGGTACAGATATTATTCTTCCAAGTTAATTCAATCTTAGATATGCCCAAGAGCTATTTCTTCGGTTCCTTATTTAAATTATTGACCATTATCTCTTACAGCTAGCTCTTTAATGAAACTTCAAGTCATCTCAGTTTCCTGACAGGTGACTAAAGTCACCATAATCATAACATTTGTAGAAAATGTATATTCTTGATGGTTTGGATTTGTTCTATGGAGTTCTGTGTATCTGGGCTTGTACTGAGTTAGATGCTGTAGCAGTCAATGAATGTAGTTCTGAAACTGACATAAGGTGAACATCACCACCACAACATGTGATGGAACAAGTGGTTTCCCAAAACTATTTTTTTTCTTCAAACTCATTGTTACAGTTTTGATAAACTTCCCAAATAGATTATTAGGGGAAGCTGCCTCAGCCACATTTATTCTGCCACTTCTACCAAAAGAAATCCTCTTTACGAAAAATAAAACCAACAAGCCCCCCCAAACATCCCCGTTTCTATGATGCAGGCATAGAATTGACACTATTCCTAGAAAGAACCTTTTCAAAGAGACCAAGACTATGTTCATTAAGGAGAACTATTTGTTAGGTCCAATCAAGCTGTCTCTGCCCTATAAGCATCATATTGATGAATGCACTCCAAAACATACTGTCTATGCCAGTCCTGTTCAGCAATTGTAAATTAAGACTGTGGAGTCCTTTATGGAATCAATACATATTATAATTTGTCTTCCCATTCTTCTTTGACTTTCCCAGACATTATTGTCTTCTCCAGTGAATCTTGCCTTCCCATGATGTACCCATGTTTCCTAATTGTTTTGCTTCCAACTGGAATTCGTTACTTAACTCACAATAACAATTTTATATTCCTAAAGCAACTAAGGGAACATTCCTATTAGGGTGGATTTGATTTAAATGAAACCAGATCTATTTAAATCACTAGTAAGATTAGATTTAAATCAAGTTTTTCTACATGATTTGCATGCATGCCTATGAAGGGGAACTTCATTACAATATTCCCAAACTGGGTCTCTTTTATGGCCTTCTGCCATTATGGGTTTTCTTATCCAGAGAAAAAATAATCTGAGAAACCTCAGGCTATACACCAAAAGTTCTAAAGACTTGAGGATTATTCTGCTCAAAAGGTTTCACTTCCACTTTTACTGATCGGCTTCTCCCTACTCCCTTAGCTTCTTGGACAGATCTATTCCACTCCCAACAATCATATTCTTTTCA